GGGTGCTTACTTAAAAACATATTTATCAGACTTTAGCAACCTTAGTACAAAACGTTGACTAAAGTTACCTACCTACCTTAGGTGCAAAAAATATATTGTCACCTTTATTTGCTTTAAAGAAGATAGACACAACATTAGAAGTAGGCCACAGTACCACAGTATAACTGTCGCGTTACCTACCTGACCCCTTGAAGGCCTAAAAGCTCACACATCAACAAAATACAACCCCGAGCACGACACGTATCGTGTCTAACAATTTGTATGTATATATTTTTTTCTTTCGTCGCCAGCTTGTCTGTTGTGTGTGAAAAGTAGAAACTCCTTTGAGAATCAGCGGAGTGCTACCAACCTTCAGTTATGTTTATGCCCAGTTGGCTGCCAGCCAGCAATATAACTCTCCATAATATACTTCGTTCATTGACCTAGTTTTGGATAACTAGCACCAGTTTTCTCTTTATATAACTTATTTTTGAAGATAAAACGAATAAGTGTGATGCTACCAGAGCTTTGTCAGGATTATTATATGGCATCTACTGTATCATCAGTGAGAAGCTGCCATTCCACTTCGAGAGTGACTTTTGAATGAGGATCCGTAACGATTTTAGTCAAGAATGCAGATTTTTAGAACTAGCGATTCCATAAAATACAGTGGATAAATTTTTGTTCTACGACAAATATTGATCAAGTTATGACCAAATTACTAAACGAATTTTCGGGTGGCCGCGTGGTGACTGTGACGTCACAGAGCTCTAGCGCTCGGGCGCGAGCGTACGTAGAGACTCTACTTAAGTCGACCGGAGTTAACCACGATCGAGCTCTGTGACGTCACACGTTTTGGCCGCCGGTGAATATTGGCTACCATAAAATTAGTTATAAAATCGCAACGAATGAACCGGTTTTGATGATTTTTAGGTCAACGGTTTAGATCATTATACTGTTGATTTTGGGTTGATTTGCTGACCTAGTAATGATCCTCATTGCTTTAACTTCATACAAAAAAGTAACCAATATTTAGTATGAGTGTTCAGAAAATCATACATAATGGATCACAAAAATAGTGGGCATGTTCTTTGATTTGCGAATAAAAAGTTTGAAACAATCTATAGCAATTTTATCGACTTAATCAGGGAACCCAAAGTCACATTCTCAGCAACTAGTAATAATGATTGTTGCTCTTTATTGCATAATTTAGTTTCAAATAATATTCTTTCGTGATGAGTATTCCATTTTTCACATTGTGGGCTCGGCACTAGTGACCCACTTTTAAAATACCTTATGGCACAGTTAACTCAAAGTGTTAAGATATGACATTGACACGACGACTATTTTTGAGGTTGTCACTGATTCCAATCCCCAGGGGATGTTAGAAAAAGCATTATTTTTTTCATTATTGCCTAAGATCTGCGGCAGCATTCTTGAAGTCTGTGTATTGTGAACTTCCTCTGTTATGCCTTACACTACAGCATTAAAAACTATGTAAATTTGTAGAGGAGGGAGAGCAATGACTATTACGATTGTATGAAAGTAAAATTTTTGAGTACCGACACTGTATACTTTTTTATGTTAAAAAGTGGCAAGCAAGCGTATGGCTCGACTGATGGTAAGCGTCTACCAAAGCCCATAGACTAGATAGATATATCATTCGCACCGTTGCCTAACCTAACCCAATCCCCTACCCCTTGAAGACCTGGAGCCTTCCTCACCAGCAGAGATACAACACCACCAAAAGGTAGTGTTATTTAACTATGATGTTCTGTAAGGTGTCCGTTACTTTCCCAGAAATCCGCTATGCCATCTCATTTGTGATCTTCTCTTTATATAAGTCGCTTCCGATGCCATGGCCATCCAGGCTAGTTTTTCTATAGAAACTAAGTTTTTAGGGCCAAATGCTCTGCCCACGCCCACAAGTAGGAATGAACTCAATAGTTTATTCAAATAGTCTATTCAATTACAGAGAAACACTTCACTGGTAGCGTGACCGCCATCTATTTGTACCGCTCTGTCGCTTTAACTTTCGACTATATTACAGCCCTTTTCACAGAGATAATGAAACAGACGACAACTTAGGTTGCTGTTTACAAAAAAATATTACGTTGAAAGTATAGTTTAAAAAATAGGTATTTTTACTTTACATTAGGTAGAATATTAAGTTAAATTTCCTTAAAAAATGTACTCAGAGTAATTTCATATTAATATTAGTTATAATTAGGATACAATCAGTTTAAAATCAATAACAGTATATTAAGAATCGGCTACTAAAACTATTCATGTTTTTTGCTGTGCCACTATGTTTTATTCAAATTAAAACCATAAGTTGCCACAATTTACAAACTAGAAGTTTGAACGTGTGAACTTACTTAACTACTTACAGCTACTATCGAAACTTTAGGCTTGCGTGACTGACAAATCACTTCTTTCCTTGTCCATGTTTCTTTCGCTTTCATTTTCTTAAATGTCTGTTTTGATTTTTCCTTTACGATTTCAGTTATCGCTTCCTTCCATCGTTCATTGTCAGGCTACATTTTTCATGTTACATTCCATCACACACATTTAGATAAGCAATAAACTAAAGAACGATTCGATATTTCCTTATTCTACTAAACTATCTCGAAAATTCCGTAGCGAATCTTCCTCATATTAGATAAATGAGAGCTTCTTCAGCGGTCAATATTTTAAAATATTGAAGATGTCATTCGTCTCCCAAACTGTTGCTGGCCTGAGCCAAACCCGCCGCGAAGACCCGCCACCAAGGCAACACTGCTCCCACCAACACACACACCGCCACCACCAACTCTGCAGGAAGAACAGCCTTCCAGAATGGGATCCCCCAGAACCAAGAGTGAGGAAAAACAGCCTCCCGGCAGATATCATCGACAGAGTTAAGGGCTCCCCATCACACAGCCCACCTATTCTAGAAGAAGAGTGACAACCATCTCCGTAAGTCCCCCTTGGTATCCCCAGTCACTCTTGTACGCATGGACGCACTCCATAGCACGGGAAAGAAGAAAGGCTTTGCGGGACAGGCCCCTTGCATGCTTAGCAGCTTATGTGATTAGGGGAGGACCTTGCACGAAAACCCTGTATAGATGTGTTTATTTTGTGATTAATGTTTATTTGGAGGCAATTTTGTAAAGTGTCATAATTTGAAGAAGATGCCATCACAGACTTAATTGCTATTGAAACTGAATTTCCACCAGCCTTGACTAGAAAACAAGTGAATTGAACATCGACAAACGTACATCGTTGTGAACATGACGATGATAAATAAATATTTGAAGCTTTGCAGCTCCGGACTAAATTGCTTGAACCTTATTGAAATCTAGACTGCTAAGCTATCAAGGGAATGGAAGCTAAACAAGGATGGCAATTCTTTAATGTTTATTACAGAAATTAATATTTTTTAATGCATACAAAAATTGAGACATTTAAAGAAAAGAGAGAGAAATTTCTATGCAAAATGGTATTGATCCCAATATAATAAATTTAATTATAATGTAATGGCTATAGCAACCCAAGGTTGATAACGATTAATATTTACTGATTTATTTAACGGCACTAGACTTTCTTTGAATTATTTAATACCGTGAAGCATATTCAACATTAACTACATATTTGCAAAATTTGCCATATAGTCAAGTGTTTTGTTTTTATTTAATAATAATGATAAATAGTGCATTTTTTTTTATAAATAACGATTGCCAAAGATTTGTTACTATTTGCAAAAAATCTCTAAATTATATACATTTCGCAATAAAAAGCCTTACTTTCTTTGACATTTCTAACAATTTACTAAAAGTCAGAGAGGAAGGTCAAGCAGGCGTTAGCCTTAAGTTTTTGAGCTAAATTATCACGCAAACCTGACATGCGAACCAGCCAAGAGGGAAATGAAGACATGAAAGTGAAACGAACTAAGTGAATAAGAATTAATCAAATTGACTACTATGGCTTGAACCTACAAGTTGATTTGCAAAACTACGGTGAAAATGAAACATGTATTTAGAAACTGGAATTCGTTCAAAAGCAAATCACTTGAATTTTTGGATAATATTTTTCCAAGTTTTTACAATTTTGACTAAAAATAAAGCAGTACCAGATCATGTGATGAAATGAGAATATCTCTAACTACTGCATTTTAGGGATACAAAAAGTCATACAAATGAAACGTAAAGGAGTGAAAATAAAAAAAGTACACGTGAATTATCTTGTAATACAAATTATTCCTTGGAAATGCAAGCATATCCCCATGAGAAATCAAAACGAATTGTTTTATATTGCGAAGCTAGGGGAGACTTAACATCGTTATTGCTACATCTGGATAACCCTCAAGAAATCTTTAATAAAAGTCAAGTCGCTGCTTCTCTTGGACGCACCACTGCATTAAGACAATTAGGTGTCATTGAATACATTTTAGGACGACACCTCCGTAAAAGCTAAAAGCCGTGCCCTGGATGAAATTAAACATGAAAGAACGTTGGCGGATTGCAATGTAATTATATTAGGGTGTAAATTTAAAATTAAAGTCTATTTTCTGCCCTCTCTTCTCCACACTTACCCTTTCTATCAATTGTTTATTTGCCTCTGTACTTGTAAACTAAAGCGCCTTGCAACTTATATGAATGTTAGTTTTCGGTGTCTAGGATATATGTACATAGATAAATATTATAAGTCCCGGTACATAATTTAAATGAATATTAAAAGATGTCTTGTTAAATCGGCTCCCTGTGTCACATCAGAGTACAGCAAATCTGAAATATCAGCAGTACCAAATCTTGTTTAAATTATCAGTGAGACCCTGGTTCAGTGTTTATCATTCTGTTAATTAAGTAATAATTTGGCTCCTTAATCTTTGTGATATATTAGAATCTTACTCATTGTCTAAAATTTCAATTTGTTAAGGTTTTCCAAGCTTCCAACCAACGACTGAATATAAATGAATACTTATAACACTATAGGCCATCATAAAATGATATATTAAATGAACACCATCTCTATTGTTTCAGGCGGAGCGAGTTTCTAGGATGTGTCTCGTTCCCATTGAAAGATGCAATATCCAGTGACATTTCCGGCACGTACTTCCTGCAAGGGTCTGGCAAGCAGGCGCCAAATGAGAGAACTGACCGGCTGACTGAAGACAGACGCAAGATGGCTACAGACAACATCGAGACAACTACCAACGATGGCACTAAAGAGAATCACAATGATAAAGGTACTAGCAGCATCAGATCAGTCGGGTATTTAGAAAGTCACTTCAGAATTACCTCTGAAGTCATTTTTCAACTTGACGACTCTATATAAAATAATACAGAGATAAAAAAGCAGCCCTTGCTGAGTTTCTAACCGGTTCTTCTCAGTACAAGGTCTACCGCCGTAGTTCTGCGAACCGATGGCGTAGCTTCTCGACTTTCACAAGTGCTTGTAACAGCCTAGAGTGAAAAATAATTTATAATTCTACAACATCTACTGCAAAGTTCATATCTTCATTATTTAGACGCGAAAGTATCACAAACTTTACTAGATTTTTTATTGTTATTAGAAGAATGACGGGATTGCTAATTAAATTGAATTGTACCCATATCTAGACACGCGGCAGCGTGTCAAGCCAAGTTCAAGCAAAGGAACTGGCTAGCCAGCGCCGAGTGTAATATTATAAAGTCAATTAAATAAAACTCCAGAACATGAAGTTCGGTTGATTAGGTTAGAAAATGCTAACAGTAATCAGCAAACTATTATTATTGTCATTGATTTTTACATTATAGTGTTTCGAAGTTCCTTGAGTAAGTGTATGTGTGTGTGTAATACATTTTTTAAGTTTCTGCAAGATCTATGCCAAAATAAATAAATGAATAATAAAATTAGGTGTGGCAGCAAACGGGCCGTCCTCCACGACCGCGAGCCAGGCTCAAGCGGTGGCGGCGGCGCTTCAGAGAGAAGCTGATGAGCATCTCTTCCTACGGTACCTGGAGCTGGACCCTCCTGAAGACCCCGCTGCACCCAGGAAGACCCAAAGGAATGGCAGGACCCCCTTTACAACAACTAGAAAGTAAGTCATTTCAAGACAATATAAGTTGATAGGTTGTGAATTGAATATGATGAGTTTATCAACTTGAGTAAATGATCGTGGAGTTATATCCTACATTCCGGATAAAACACATCTTTTTATTAACTTTAATTATTTTGCGTCCAAGTAATATTTAAAAGACTCGTGATTTCGCGAGAAATAACTTTAGGGAATTTCGAGAGAAATAACCTAACGTTCGATAAAAAAAATGACAACTCACCTTAATCCTTTATTCCTAGACTCGTTCGAGGCACTAGTGGTGGCTTCGGTTTCACTGTAGTCTGGACCAGACCACCCAGAGTGGAGAGGGTGGCTGCAGGAGGGTCGGCTGAGAGAGCAGGCTTGAGGGCGGGTGACTACCTCGTATTCGTAGGCAACAAGAATGTGGTCACCGCATCTGAGGAAGACGTACGGACGCTGGTCAAGTAAGTAACAGACTGAAATAGATTACGATAATTTACGTCCTACAGTGTAACTTCATCATCATTAGTCTAATGATATTCTCATTGCTAGGGCACAGGCCTTCCCTATGGATGGAATAGGGATATTGATATATAACTCACCGCGCGGATCTAGTGCGAATTAGTGGGTGCTAACTATTTTAGATGCAGCTAGGGCTATTTGTTTAACTGGCCTTCTGAAACACGGAGAAGCTCGAGACAATACATTTTAGATTAACTTCTTATTACCAACCATTGCAAAATTCACTTAGTTTCCACGTTCACGAAGCGAAAATTAAACGTATTGCATTTATGAAAATTTTAAAACTAGTAAAATTATCTTAATTTCCAGATCGGCTGGTCAGTTTCTGACACTTGAAACGTTCAGACGAGTGCCTCACAACGGATCGACTACAACGCCCAGACCGAGACTAGCCCAAGTGACGATCCCTGTGGAATCCACTCCTCCGCCCGCGCCTCGGTCACCCAGAACTACAGTGCTAGCTTCTCCTGCGACTCAGGCTAGGCCTCCGACAGCCTGTTCTTCGACCAGCCAATCTCTGGACCGACGCAAACTTCATTTACCTCAAGTTACATTCTCCAAAGAGGTCGGTAATGGCATCATTGTCTAATGCTTATCCATTATGCATACAGTCGTAACGTTAATAAAATCAATATCAAAACTTCTCCTGATTGCATTTGAACTTTTTAATATACAGTTATTTAATAAAATTATATAGCAGAGACACAACCTTGAAATACTCTGCTAAATAAATAATCTTGTTCTTGTTTGAACTTAGATCGATTAAAAACTTAATTCTTACTATATGAACACTTTGTTATTTGTTTGCATAATGGTAGAGCATCTATGTATTAAAAATTTTCAAATTAGTGGCATACTAGTCATCTTTAGAAAAATCGAATTTAATTGGAGTTTGAAAATGTTAGTAATGTGGTGCTAGTATTAGACCTAAATTAAATGTATGGACATTTCTATCCTATGTAAGCCTAATATCTCACTTGTGTATTTTCGTCATGCTCATAGTAAGGATTATGTACAGTAGTTTCTAAGTATGTATCATCTTCTATTAATTATTTATTTTGTACAGAAATTGACTTTAGTTTGTACACTTCGTAATGCATTCCATTATTTAAATTATGTTATTATGAATACTTAGACTTTATTCGTAGCATATAAACTAATTTTAGATTTCATTTCTGTCATTTTAGTTTTTAAGTCTTTTTCATTTAATGGGGAATCGTTACGTTTAACCTCGCTGTTTTTGTTAATATTTATTTTGTTAATGTTTTTTTTATTTATTCTCTTTGTCCAAGACTTTGTGTGTTATTATTTTAATAAAGAACTTATCTTTTGCTACGTACTTATGGTATGATTTTGTTTTTTGTAGCACCACAATTTTATAATTTTGTGTCCTTATTTTTTTGTAATTAGTATGAATGAATTGGTTCCTGTTAATTTTATTTCGTTTAATAAATTTATTGCTTTTAATTTTTCCTTTCTTTTATTATTTAATCCATTCCAAATCGTTCAAATATAAATCATTATTTATTTTATTATTTTGCTTACAGCTATCATATGTATTATTATGTAATGTATTATTGATTAATACATTATTTATCATCTAACTCTTTCTATTCTGAACATATGTGTGGCATTTCATTCAAGGTATTTTCTTTTTTATGAAATATTCATGAAGTGACTAGAGATTTTTGGAATCTATCCAAATATCGACGGAAGAAAAAAATACGAGAAATGTAATAGATACTTTTGAATATATTTGGCGCAGTAAAATCTCTTACTTATGTACCTACGCATTTTTCGAATGCGATTTCAATGGGAATATTCCAAAGCTCAAGACTAATTCCAGGTAATTGATCAGTTGGGCAATCTTTAATAGTATGATCTAATTCATAGGAATATCCCATGGAAGGAAATGGGCTTTGGCCTAGTACGCGGAACCAATGCGGATTCAATTGCTTAACGTCTCTTTTAAAGCACGGAGGAGTTTGAGATAATAAATTTTTGGTCAGATATCGCACAAAATATGACCAGCCATTGATTGCAGAATGGACACAACACTCCATCAAGCTGTTCTTATTATGAAAGTAAAGAGAAAGAAAAAAGACGAGACGTATATCTTGTTTAGGAATTGACAAAGAAGAAGCGTCGAACTATTTTTTTTTTGTGATTATTATCCATTATAAAAACATATTTTTAATTAATATAAAAACAGTAATACATTTACACAATCGATTGAACAATCTATCAAAAATATCCATAGTAATGATAAAAATGCGATCTAGGCAGATGCAGAATACAAACCTTGGACGTAGAATCTCTGTACAAACAGACAAGCAAAAGAGCATGATACTCCGTAGAATCGTTATCATAATATGTGGTTTCAACAAGACGGTGCAACCGCACACTCAGCACGATTTTATTTTGGGGATTTAGCATGGCCAATAAGATCGACCGATTTAAGCGCCTCAGACTTCTTTCATTGGAGCTATTTATAGCCTCGGGTTTATGTCAACAAGCCTCAGACAATCGCAAACTTATAGAATTATTTTACAGGAATGCTAACAGTAATCACTGGAAATCATGGTAAATGCGATAAAACGAGCATGCCACTAGTACATAGTTTGCGTGGATTGCCAAATCATTGTGAATATTTCTGTTTCGTGTAAATTCTCTTTCTTCTAAGTACAAGTCTTTCTGTTTGTGTTTATAAACTATCAGATTGCAAAACAAATGTGGCCGTTCATTTTCCAGTGCTAACATTCTGTCTTAAATTTGATCTCGAGAAGTATTTTCACCTTATAGAAGACTGCAGTAACATATATAAAATTATTCATATAGTTTGTGTCTCTGTAGTGGGTACTTGCTCTACGTGTGGTGTTGGATCTGTAATTGAGAGAGCCCCTATATCATGGCTAATAATCTGTTACGTGGTACTCGTAATACTTCTGAGGACAAACTATAGAAATTAAATCTTCAATCCAAGATCTAACGGGTAAGAAACAAATCACCAAACGGCGAAAAATTAAACCTCCACTCTCCCGTATCAACGGGAATCAGATTGAAAAGACTGTTAAAGACAGTCTACATCTAGTAGAATTTAGATTGGTCGATAAAAGAATAAAATTTAACATACCTATCACTCACACATTATTTATTCACACATGCCAGTATGTGTAGGAAATAAAGGTACAGAAAAACATTGTTTTTCTGGAGATGTAAATTAATCATTTTTTAAGTCTGATTAATGTCATGTTTAGGGTAGACTGTGTATGCAAAGGTAGTTGTCGAATTATTGTGAAATAAAAGTAGGTATTTTCGTTATCTTACATAAAATTATAAAACATGTAAAATCTTATTTTCAAGGACAGTTAGACAAGTAGTAGTCCTTACGGGAACCTTAAAAAACTAAACTATATCGTATTTTGTACACCCCTTCAACCATCAATTTAAATAAAAATATTTAACAATCGATGATGTTCTTAATGGTATCGGTGTATTGGGACACCTGTAAAGCAGCTACTTTAATGCTAATCAAAGACAATTTATTGACTGGTCTTTATATTGATCTATTAAACCCTGGATCCATCAGATGCCAGGCTTATCGACGGACGGTAGGAAGCGGGCGTTACTAGCGGTGGTAGCCCGAGAGCAGCACTACGCCACGTGCCTGCAGTTTGGGCTGGTGCGGTTCGTCTCCCCACTGGCGGAGAGAGCTGATCTCATCGCACCCAACGACCACTTGCTACTGTTCCAAAATATTGAAGAGGTAAGAATACCAAGCTATGTGGATGATCATCAACTCATCAATTTATAAATATTCATCACGAGGGCGTAGTACGGATTAGTGAGTGCTAACGAATTTAAAAGCAGCCATGACCAACAGATTACCATGCTTTCGGAAGCACAAAGGTGGCTCGTGAGCAGTACTGCGCCATTTGCCTCTAGTTCAGGCTGGTGCAGTTCGTCTCCCCATTGGCAAAGAGAGCTGATGAAGTAAGAATACCAAGCTATGTGAATGATCATCATCAATATAAAAATGTGCTTAATGATTGATGTAATATGGAGAATGGGCATTGACTCACCATGCGGGTGCAGTACGGATTGGTGAGTACAAACTAGTTTATATGCAGTCAGGACCAGCAGCTTAAGGTGCCTTCCAACGCACGGGAGAGGTGCAGATAGTACATGTTTGGTCAGCCTGCCTATACGAAAATTATTTGACTCCAATGATCGCAAACTGAACACGCTAACCAATGTACATCAAGTCCTCATAATAACGTGGGTGATTATTGATTCGATTGCAAATAAAGATTATTCTATTCTATTCACATATTTTTAAAATTAGTTCAGTGCTTATAAATATTTATTTATTTGAAACAAAAGTAAACGTATCTCTTCCTTTTTCAGATCTTTAGGTTGTCAGAAGATATTCTGGACCAAGTGGTGCAAGACGATGGTGAGATCCAGACGTCGACCGTGGTGGCGGTGTACCTGCAGAAGACCCCTGTGTTCCTTAGTCTATATAAGAAATATTGTCTAGGATTGAAAAGAGCGGACTGCGTATTGGTGAGTCCGCTAAGATTAAACTTATCAAAAAGGTCATCCTAAATATATTTAAACTAAATATTAAATGAATCAATGAAAACCTCTTCAATCTTTATTTGTTTTTATAAACTAGTAATTTCTGGTCAGTATTTAAGCATATATTTTATTTTATCCTATATGATCTAAGTATCACATAAATAGCACAACCCAATATCAATCATTTTGTTAACATTTCACATTATTAATTTAAAGAAAAATCCCAAGGTTTAACTATTAAAAAATCCTATCCACAACAGGTAAAAAAGTCAAAAGACCCCAGTGGAGCATTCTCTCGGTTCTGCACAAGCCCTCCGATCCCCCGAAGAAGACCAGACATCACTTCCTTGGTGCACAAGCCGTTGGAGCAGTTCCGAGAGCTGCTGAGGCTGATGCGAGCTGCTGCGGCGGCTAGCGGCTCTGGCCCATATGACCAGCTGGAGAAGAAGCAGCTACAAGTCATCGTAGAACAACTGCAGGTAGAATACAAAGAAGAGTTACAATTGACTACCCAGCCACACCTTTTGGCTTACCTATGCACGCAACTAATTCTGTTCTAGTATTCGGTAGACTGATCTTTACGCTAGCTCCGTCGCTAGGGGCTGCAATTAGAGGCATTTGTTCTTTTAACTTGACGCGTCAGTTATAGCAGCGACATGATGACCAAGCTCTTATAGGGCATATAAAATCACTTGAATTTAGTTTCATAAGTGCATTATTATAAATTTTTCAACCATAGTGACAATTAATCTTTATTTATCCCTTAAATTATAGAGGTCGTATACGTCTTTCACTTATGAAAAACAAAAAAGTTTTTTGATAAGATCCAATTTTGATTAAAGCAGAAATTCAATAGTTTAGAAAAAAATAATTGAAGTGAGCTAGTCATAAAGCCATAATGAACCAAATCTGTCTGTAATCAGTTACTGCAATACTAAGGATAAACTCGGATGGATCTCCACTGAGCAGCTTCACCGATTTAATGGAAACTTAATCTTAAGAAAATGTCCTTGTATTCTCAACAATACGATCGTGTAATTGACTAACAAAACACCTTTTACACAATATTTTTTTCATTGATTTAAACGTTTACAGTGTGGATACCAAGACGTGACTGCAGGATCGGGACTGATGGGGTTAGCTGGTGACGGCAAGCCGTTGCTGTCCGTCTCAGATCTAGAAAGTAGACTCGTGTTCACTAGGTGTAAAGTGAGTATTTTTAAATTCACGTTACAATAAGTACTCTAAGCGATGACATTTTATTCGATCGATGATTATTTGAAATATACTACGTACATATGGGTACGTAGTATAGTTCAAATAACAATTTCTATATTAATAAGATAAATCCAATATATTGTTTTAAACTTTCATGGTCACTAACATTATAGTAATATAAGTTATTTACGGGATTGTTACCATGTACCTTGTTTTTAGCGAGTTTCCGATATTTCGGCACTGTTGCAAGCGCCATGATCACGGAGTAACTGAAGTAATTGCGGGTAGGCTGTTATTGGCAGACATATCGGTCTATCTTCCGACAAAGTCTTTTATTGCGTTCGATACCCGTACCACTGTTGACATTCTCACTGTTCTTGACACACAACACTTACAGTATCGGATCGCGACACGACACTTTTTTGATTAATTCCGGTTTTACACATACGAACCACAGGATTCCAGACACTCTACAATTTAAACCCGTCCTCACGATTGAAATTTTTATGTTTTGTTATTTCAATCGCTTTTCTGACCAATCGTGGTATGTAGGGGCTTTCTGTCGAGATAATCTGTGGGTTATGCAACTCAATCCAGTAGTTAGGACCAGAATCTATCAAATGTTTAGCGATGGCTGATTTCTGCGTATCGTTAAACGATTATATACAGTTTCGAGTGAATAGTGAGAATGTGAACAGTGGTACGGGTATCGAACACAATAAAAGACTTCGTCGGATGGTGGACCGATATGTCTGTCAATAACAGCCTACCCGCACCAGCTTATATTTATCTATATATACAGGATGTAAAAAATCCTTTAACGTATTTTCCACATCATGACGATCATTTTTTTCTTCTGAACCATACATGGGAAAGGACATTGCTCGTTCCCCATACATTGAATGCCCTATAACGCCCAGCAATGAGAAAATGCTAGTTGTGTTCGGAATCATTCATAAACTCTAATTAAGCATTTGTTGAGATACGGACAACTTGAGGAACCGTGGCCTACTACAGAATGTATTAGATTTTGAGGTTATAATTATTATACTTAATCGTAAAAGATGTACACTTTATATATTCTGAATAATAATAGTTTTTACCTCTATGTAAGCAATTAAATAATATGCATTAAATGAACATAAAATGCAATTAATAATAAAAATAATAAATGCTTATATTCATATTGATTTATGAGTGTTGTCAGTTGGCACCTATGATACCGATACCTACCTGTAGTAGGTAATAATATATTTATTTTCAAATGAAATGTTCAGTCTTTCCATTTAACTGTTTTACTATCGGTAATTAGGTATGTACCTGGTTATCAATATGATTTTCATAAAAATAAACAGATTACATGGGATGGGAGTATAAACTATATTTACATAATTTCAGAAATAATCTTTTTATAAATATAATATAAATATTAGTAATAACTATTATTGACTAAGGGTACCTAGTTCAATTTTATGTTGATAAAATACCTATGGTCGCCTATATTGCATTTATTAAGGTAAACAATCTTGGCACAACTTTTTAACAGAATCACCCGTTTAATAATAAAATATTATCGAAGCCAATAAACTATTAAAATAAATCGTTATTATAGACTGAAACCTATTGAATCTAGTTATCAGTTGATTTTTAATGCTGTATTTTCAATAAAAAGGAGTACCAAGTTGGATGAACAGACTGTAGTATCTAGTAACAGAACTTTTATTTTTTATTTTCTTAAACAGATTGTCCGTTAACAATGATTAATTGCTAATAAGTTAAAAAAATAATATAAAAATAATAGTGAAGGACATTCTTTTGGGCATGCTAGGGCCGATTTCGTCGATGTCCTTTATGGTTATGGAGATATTGATGGTCAAAGTCACAATATTTTTTTCAAGATATTTTCATTAAAATTTTCAAAACGTTATTTAGAAACTTTTTCATCGACCCACTTACACACACGCACACACATACACACAAGCACATTCTTTGCGTAACGCCACAGAAGCGCACCGCGCTAGCGCGTTTTGGAAAAAAAATTGTTTTATTTTTACTTAAAAAAATGGTTGCCTGTAAAGTCGGTTTTACGGGCGAAGATTTTACGTGACAACGTCTTTTTCTCGGTAGAATATTTATTGATATGAATATAATTAAATTGCACAATAGGAACAAGGAATTGAATGAAAATAAGAATTGCACAAATTTTAACTATAGAAATATATTTTGTTTACTAAAACATTGTACATGTAAACTTAAACTTAACACGAGAGACTCATCGTAACGTTACCGAGCGTTACACTTTTTCATAAGTGACTCCCAGCCGCAACCTAATTTAAGACGTTGTCACGTCAAAATACAAATGATTCCCACGTATAATATTTTGTAATATTACTTGTTTGGGTGTACAGAATGCGTAGGTAGTTTTAGTCTTTGTCATGGGTTTTTTTACACTCTGTATAATCCATAGGGATATTGATGGAATAAGGTGCACGTAAATGACCCACCACGCATGCGTGCGTATTAGTGGGTGCTAACTTATAGAGCATGCATGTAGAGTTGGGGCCTACGGCTCAACATGCCTACTTTCGCATGGAGAAACTGGAGATAAAACATTTTTTCTTTCACTCTTCCTATGTTGATCATGGCAAAAGTTGCTTTATTTTCAAGACCACAAACTGTGTCATTTAGGTGCTAAATGATGCAGTAGTTAGCGCATTCGGTCAAACACAATTCTCCAAACAGAAAACTACAGCCACACCAATATTTCGTAGTTTTGTCTTTAGGCAACGAATCATAACTTTACGGGAAGAAAGGAACAAGCAGTGATCCACTTTGAAAAATATAGTATGTTAATTTTTATTTCAGCCGTTCGTGCTAAGCACAGCTGGAAGGCAGTGGATATTCGGCGGGGAGTTGTCTAGAGTAGAAGGCAGAGCAGTGAGGCCTTACTGGGCGCTGCTGTTCTCAGACCTGCTACTCTTCGCGACTGTCTCCAGAGACAGGGTGCTATTTGTTACCGAAGAGCCAGTGGCGTTAGGGACGGTGTCTGAAGCGCAGTTTAATGTTAGGAAAAAAGGTAGGCGCATACTTAGTAAAGTTTAATTTTAAAAAATCGTGAAGAAGCGCGGAAGTTGTACTTGACACATTTATCATAAAGTATATTGAGTTTAATTGAACTTCCTTCCTTTAAATAGACTTCCTCAAATATAATTTTGTTTTAATTTAAAGTCAGTCATAACATTTTTTGTTAATGCCGCGCCTCTACCGATAAAGTATAAATGAATGTTGATGAAGTTCTTTTCTGTGCTAAATTTTTATTTGAATACTTGTTAATTTTTTACTGACTTTTAAAAAGCGGTGTACCTTAGCATATCATATCATTAAAGTTAGCTTTGTAATTCACAACACACATTCTAGCGTCAACGCCAACCCCGCTAGAAAGCATGACAGGTCTTCAATCAGCAGTGACAAGGGAATATCTTTATATATATAATTCTTCTGTGAGTGTGTATGTCACTGAACTTCTCTTAAACGACTGGACCGATTTTGATGAAATTTTTTGTGTGTGTTCAAGGGGATCTGAGAATGGTTTAGATTCACAATTTTGTCCGCTGGACAACCCCTATTTTTTTAGGGCGGTACGAAGTTCGCTGGGTCAGCTAGTCTAATATATAAAATTCTCGTGTCGCGGTGTTTGTGGTTAAACTCCTCCGAAACGGCTCGACCGATTTTCGTGAAATTTTATATGCATATTCAGTAGGTCTGAGAATCGAATGTAATCTATTTTTCATCCCCCTAAATGTTAAGGTAATCCACCCCTAATTTTTTTTTTAATTTTAGATATATATTTTTTTTATTTTTTTTATGATACAGCATTAGTAAATACATACGTATAACCCTGAATTTTCAACCCTTTAAAATCAACCCCTATTTTACCATCGCGATTTTTATTTTTAATATATTTTTTTTTCTCAATTCCATTTGATCTTCCGCCTTCACCGGTCGATAACCGATCAACGATCAATCGATCAGTTATCCCCGCTAGATGTCTACCTGGGTCACCTCTCATCCAGCAAACATCACGGAGTAGGGATGAGAAGGAAGCCGGTCTCCTGTCTTCCTCAATATACAGTTTTGGGCCATTTTTTTTTTATTTCATTTGTGTATCGATCGTAGCAGTGACTTATACGTATTATTTTAATTTTTCTGTGCATCTATTACGTTAATTTTACTCTCATCGTGAATTTATTATTAATTTCCAGTGCAGTAATTATTTTTTCACATTTTATTAATAACTGATAAAGACAGTTTTAAATATTAGTTAATTAAGTGATCTCATATAAATAAACACGTGTTGTGATCTCCCGCCAACAACGGCCATTACTGTGAGAAGGAAGCCGGTCTCCTGTCTTCCTCAATATACAGTTTTCGGCCATATCACAGTGTTAGTTACCATACTCCTCCGAAACGGCCTGACCGATTTTAATGAAATTTTATATGCATATTCCGTGGGTCTGAGAATCGGCTACTATCTATTTTTCATATCCTTAAGTGATAATGGTTGTCCACCTGAAACGTAGTGTTCTGAAACCTACAATGCGCCTTCGCGCCAAAAGTCAAACTATTGGGTATTGTAACGTATATATATGATATAGGTTAGGAGGAATGTTATCCCAGGAAATTGATAGAACACTACGTTTACACACCCCTAAAATTTTTTGTGGACAATATTTATTTTTTATAATGTGATATTAAAAAATACATACAACCCTAAATTTTCTCTTCTAACACCTGCCCCTATTTTTATGGCGGTACGAAGTTCGCTGGGTCAGCTAGTTATATATATAGTTATGGTGTACATCACTCTCATTGCCACACCTCAATGACACGTCATTTGGCATTGACTAGGTCTAAGATGATTTGCAGAAACAGGCAAAATAATTCTCTCAATTCAAATTCCAGCTACAGAATTTCGCCTGATCCTGGGCAGAACAGGGGGAGAGAGTCCATTGGTGTCCTGTGCGCCAAGAACGCCCAGTCGAACGCGGACCGTCGTGCTGAGAGCACCGTCCATAGACCTGAAGGCGGTCTGGCAAAGCTTACTGCAGCGACAGATGTAAGCAATTCTCTGTCAAGTCAACTCATACGTGTCGTGATTCTTTCATGTTTCTAGGGTCTATTTAACAACTTCGGTGGTCCAACTTGCACACCAGATTTTCAGGGATTCACTACTACCATTTATTAAATTAATGTTGGCAAACATCGTTACCAATGGTGTCCCACATCCGAAATCCCAGGTTCAACCCTCGACAATTTCTATACAGAAAATTTAATTGTCTATACAAATATGGGTCAAGATTTTTGTAGCACATTCGTTGTTCCTGATTTCTATAACATAATAACTTCAATTGCTTTTGTTGCTCATAAAAGAATCTAGTCTTAAAGTTCATAAATAGCCAGAAACCATTTTTGGTAAAGATTTTCCTTTAATCGGGTAAACTAATATTTCCTCCTACTACAAATTGATTGCAGTCCTAAACTAAGAATCGTGTTTAATTCGGAGAATGAGTATAAATTGGCGTCTCACAGATACCGCGCTCACACGATGACGGGCACGCCGCTGGGGTCACCGCTGGACTCGCCCGACCCGCAGCTAACGTTCTCGCTGGCGACACTGGACTCGCAGCAACGCCAGGTATCTGCCTCCAGCATTCAACGCCACTCAAGTCTGGCGCTCCTCCCCGCCAGCTCCTACCGCTCACACCTTAACATGCTCGTAGAGGAGCGACACGAAAAGGAAGTACGGGTCAGCTTCGACGTTCGAACCAATTCAGCCTCGCCCACGAGATCACCGCAACCTGTCAGGGGCCCTCTCAGCACAGTCTGGAGAACGGCCCCCACGCCCGAAACCCCGTCAGCGAATCTCTCACCGGCTGATTCTCAAACCTTCTCTTCACATTTTGTATCGTCCTCTAGTATTGAAAAGAACGAGGAGCGAGCTACGTCTCCGAGCGCACAGCTCACGCCCGATGGTGGCGAAGACTATTCTGAAGCTTCTCCTTGTAGATGGGAATCTTTCGAAGCCGATTTGGCGCTCGCGGACTTAGACGTCGACCCCTCTTATAAGCACGCCGTTGAAGAGCGCATATTTTTACCCGACGATCCTCTCCTACCTCGTGTAGCCCTGCCTGAAAGGCCGACCCCGCCCGCTTACTTAGAACTTTGATCCGCGGAGTCCGATCCGGAGCTAGCAGACGCTTGCTACCCTCGGAAATCTAGAACCAGATGGAGATAAAAGTTGTCTCCTTAATATTGTGACTTTTCAATGGTGTTCTAGTAGACCTGTGGTTTTTATAGCTGGTGTTAGGTGAGACGGGCCGCAGGTGCCGGATGCTTTTGTCTTTTAGACACGCCCTGAGGCGCGGCGCGAGCGAAATTTGTTGGATTGTTATAAATTTGCTTATAGTTGATAATAAGGTTGTGGTAATAAAAATTTTTGAGAGACATATTTTCGAACATTAGCAGTATTGAAATGAAATGTCGGTATTTTGATTAAAATAGAAGAACTATTATTAAGTCTGATACCCACTTATGATATTACAGTGGTCTTTTATTGTTATTATAAAGTAAATAACCCAACCAATTTTAAAAATGAATAACGTCACAGAACTGAACAAACGAATGGGGTAATCAGAAGTACAACTCGCTTAAGTATTAACCAAATGTGTATGCCAATTTACATTTTATCAATTATAAATAATTCAGTGTCAAAATGTAACCGTAGGGTACCAAAGTTAACGATGCATAAAGACTTCAAACTTAGCTCCTTTTTATATACTTTTGCTTCTTACGTCTTCCGTCCTTTACCTTTGGTGACTGTCAGCGCTTTTTCTTCAAACAAACCAAATCCAGAGGTAACTAAGACACTTCCTAACCATCCAATTTATTTGTAAGTAACAAAAGAACTTATTGGAGACTGTAGCTTCTTAGATGAAAGTCTATACAAAAGCACTGATGTTTTAAAGCAAGAAACAACAAAATCTGTTAATCTGTACATAAGATAAGATCACTTGTACAGGTCATGTGGATATTTGGCGATCAGCTTCGCGCAATCAGAATCACGTAGACACCATTGTAGTTTATCGAGAGCAATTTTTCTTTTATTTTTATTTTCAAACGCTTTTTTCATGTCTGATGCACTTTACGTCTAGATTTAAAATGTATTTTTATTGTGAAAAATGGTAGTCGATGTAAATTATAAATATGGAATAATTTAGATAATGCTTTTTGTTTTGTTAGTGTAATGAACATACTATGTAAATCATGTAATAGCAAATTGGTAATATAAATTTAGATACTGTGCGTTTTCGCTAGCATCGCAAAATGTTCACATAACCTATTGTCCGGGTTTATGTATATGACCTCTTTTTTTACAAAAATAAACTAGTAGTTAGAATCAATAATTTTCGATGTCTTTGGCTGTGTGTAAATTTTAATATAGTGTGATAGATTATGAAAAAAAAACATAATAATTTTGAGAAACCATTTACTTATAGTTCTGGGTTCTTTGTAACATTTAATGGACTTTAAAATATAATAATATGAATTTGGATGTTTATGTTTAGATCGGAACAGTATATTTCTAATATCCATAAAATAAAGTGATTTTGTCAGTGGCAAACTGTTTATTAATTCGGATAAATACCCGAAAGGTTTCTATTTTGCGACGCTATCGAGTTAATACACGACTTACCATTTTTCTGTGAACCTTTTTTATTATATTTTTTTCTAATTTTATACAAAACTGACACATTCGTTCGTCGCAATAATTTATCACGTTTTATTTTACGGAACTTTTATGATACGCAATAAAAACTTAAATAATTGAAAACAGAATATTCTGTTTCTATCACAATTCATAATTTTAATTGAGAATATGGGTGAGTAAAAACCTTTAAAATAAATACCGTTAGTGTAAGTGAAGATTGATCACATAATATCCACATTGCCAACTACATGCATGAGACGTAAATCGAGATTTTGGAGATTTGTTAATACAAACTATTGTAGATACGAAGAAGTTCAGCGGAAACCCAAACCGGTGCTGGAGGGAGTGCCACTGAAGGTGCTCGAAGTTCAAGAAGTAGAGGATCTACGATTCATTTGCAGAGATGGATGACACAACTTCCTGAAACCGAAGAAATGGATCCTCCTGAACCGGACATGGAGGTAAACGTATGTCCCAAATTCATATCGTTTAGAGTAACATTCAAATTAGGAATGATTAATAAATTTAACACACTATAGCCTGTTATTTTGGAAGGTTTTCTTAGTAACTCTCTTGACGATATAGAACGGTCTATGTTAACAATTATTTTTGTAAATAGATGTGGAGCATCGAAGAGCTTAGGAAAAGATCTAAAGAGCTCAACCTTTTAGAAGTAGCTGATCTAGTGGTAAAGACGTCTGAAAATAAGGGTTCATCTCCAGGAGAGAAGAAAGAGAATGAACGAAGTCCTTCCAAAAGCAGTAACTCGGGAAGTCAGGTGTGTTTATGTTTGACACAATCTCTGATAGTATAACACACTATTCGAATGTAACTTTCATATTTTCGTTACACTCCATGCAATGTTTGGTTTTAGATCACTGTTAGAACGAGTCCGGTGGTCGTCGATACGATACCAGTATGCAGACAGTGCCACAAAAAGTGTTTATCAAAACCAAATAGTCCACAAGTTTCCCATAGAGAACCGCCTAGTCAAAGGGAATTAATTAAACTAAACACAGAACCTTCACCGCAAAACTCTAACTCAAATAAAAGCTCTAGTAGTACATGTAGTGCAAACTGTGGAAATCGTAAGCCAAAAACTTTTATTTGTCACTTAGAGCGTAAAGGTGCTATGAAATTACGTCCAGAAGATGCTCCATTTGCAGCTTCAAAAGTTATAGACTCTATCGAGCAAAGTCAGAAAATGCTAAAATCTACATCATATGAACTGAAAACTGAGTCCCCTGTATTAACTCGAAGCGTCCATTCTAATCGTAAAAACCATACAAAAAGTCACTTGGAATTGAGGAAAGAAAACCCTATTAGGACTCCAAGCCCCTCATCTAGCAGTAGAAATAATAGTCCTTTGTCTACTAGCCATACCACATGTAGTTCAATGGTTTTTAATTCTAGTTCTAACGATTTAAGAATGTCCAATTCAAACATTGCTAATCAAGTTCAATGTGTTATTGCACAAGAGAAATATTTAAATGAAATAAAATGTGTTGAAAACATAACACTTTCGAAGACAAAAATGTCAACTTCTAGCTATCCCTCTCCTGCTTCAGTAAGAAAAGAACAAATAACAAGACAAAAGGCTGAAAACGTACTAAATAAAGTGTTAGGTATGAATATTGTAGCAAAAAGAGAAAATGTAGGTACGTGTTTAAAAACATCATCAGTTTTTTTAGAGGACGACACAATTCACCAGGATGATAATGATTTTAAACTAGATAGAGGTATACGAAGATCTCCTAGGATGGGAATATCTGCGGTTAATAAAATGAATGGGGATATAAATAAGAAGACTGAAAGGACGGAAGACTATAATGCGAACCTTAATAATAATGAAGTGGGATCAGATGATGATTTAGAATTAGGTCCTTTAATGTTAATGGGCTTGTCAGCAATTAATCCGGCAGCTCACCTTATGCGCGTGGAACCATTCAAACGAGTTCTAGGAACAAATATGCCAAGTATATCAAGACCAGGCAGCCTTGGTCCACCTAAATCTGAATCTCCTGTGCCTAATATAGCAGTAGTCCCACCGACACCAGATTACAATTCTACCAATAAGACTGTAAGTATAATAATCAGAAAACAATATTTTGTTTCTTTTTGTTTATCAAATGTTAAAATTCTTTCTGACGCTTACAGGATGCAATTGTAGATGACTCCCCTGATTCTCCAGACGTACCAGAAGACCTTCCTTACGTATCGCTCAAACGGTTCGTAATCATTTCAAGAAAATTTACTTTATTATAAATGAAAAAAAACTTCGTTCCATAATCAAATTACTCATTCTGTTCAATTGATTTTAGTTATGGTACGATGTCAAGCCTCGAAAGGCTACCGTCCGATGAGACTGACGATGGTAACGTAAGACTGACTGCGGAAGAGCCAGAAACAAATGCACACAATTCAGGTACTTTTTAAAAGGATTATATATCTTTTAATTTTAATCCATATATTAAAGTTAATATCGATATATTTATGTTTTTAACAGCAGTAGCGGCAGGTACAGCAGGCGGTATTATGGGCTGGACAGCAAGAGCTGGCTCTTTTGTCGTGGAAAAAATGAATATCTTTAGCTACACAGAAAGTATTCCTAATACCTCAATAGCACACAAGCAACCATCATTTCTCGAAAGGTCAGTTGAACAATACGACATCGCACTTATACTGACTTGATTGTTATTAATATTATTTAACTGTATCGATATTAAGTCCCTAAATAGTCAATGTAAAAAAAAAATTTTTGTCCATTTCAAATTGTATCATTTTTGCTTATAATTTATTTCAAAAGGTTTATGATGTTTGCATTAAAAGCAAATCCAAAGTAAGTTGTACATAATGCAATTTTTATCAAGAGTTTAGTTAAGTTGAACCTTATGAATAATACGAATTTTCGTTTTATCTGCTAGTTGGATATCAATAAACGATGGAAAACTGACGACACGATAAGTATGCGTGGGTGCTAATCTTAAATGTATTGAAATTTAAGTCTTATTAATTTGATTAGGCTATTAGAGCGAATCAATGTTTTTATTCAAATACCAAGCTAGTTATTGTTTTACAAGATTTACAACTAAGTATATTCACAAATATTTTCTCTTAGTAATAACTATTCTAGATCATTTTATAATTAGTCGCTAGTATTGATATTTTTAATATGTATGTAAGAAGTGTATAAATTCTCACAAATTACTGTTTTGTCTTATGTTTTAGTAGATATTTAAATATTTCTAGACAAGTTTTTAATTAATAAATAAGTAGTAAACTTAGATTAATAAAATTGTACAACTGTGCTTAGTTTATTATAGCCATTTTTATTGTTTAAAATCAACAAATATGTTATGTAATTAGGAAACTGGGAATTATCATTACCAATTTTACGAATTCCTTTTTAACATTAGATTTTTTCAATTGCAATACCAATATTAATTTTATTGATTATATGAACTAACTTTTTTATGATTGCTGTCAGGTGTTTAGGTGTAAGTGACTGGAAATCAACCATGGGTACCGAAGAAGGGACACCGGAGACAGGTGAAGGCAGTGGTGCTAGTGGAGAAGAAGCCTGGGGTACTCCATCATCTGGTGATCTATCAGATAATCTACCAGACTCGGAGCATGGAACATTATCGGTGAATATTAATTATCTTCAAAAATCACTAGAGAATCTAGAGCTGTTTGTCATATTGAAGAACTCTTAGTTAAGTGTTTCTTTAGACCTAGCGCTTGATAAGTTTCTTGAAGCAAAAACATTAAATCCAACACTTTTTAAATAATTTTTAATAATAAAGATCTTTGTTGAATGTATTTTGTAAAATTTTGGAACAGACAACCTATAAATGTTTCAGTCTCCTACAAAGTCTTCATCATCTTATGCCGGTGATGACGACACAGAACTAATGATGGACGAACTCCTCATGGCACCAACCATAACTGGACCTACCACTTTGAGGCCTTTGTTACCGAGGTAAATATTAAAATAAATAAAACAACATATTTCATATATTGTACAATGGTATATACATCATTTTTACTATGATTTTCATAGGGACGTTTTTAGAAGGCGGTTGGAACCTCTTCTAGAGGAGGATTGTTCAGACAGCGGTAGTGAAGACAACAAACCCACCCCTACTAACTCAGATGACCAGGTGAATATACTGAATACCCTATCAAAATATCTAAATAAAGACAATTATTATTAGAGAACCTCGAAATTTTCTATTCTAGAATAGTGTGTTCAAAATATGTGAATTGGAAATGATTTTGTTGTTGAGGGATATCTATCAAAGCCTAATCACTACAATTTCCATTTTACAAAAAAATGTGTATCTGATACTAAAATATATGTTTTATATTTTCTTTTATATATTATATAACCGAACATAAATAGGCTTTGATAGATGAAGTAGGAAGTCAAGCTTATTAATGTCAATAACCGTCCCAGCATGCAAATAAAATAATACACGTAGCATGCTCGTTGCATGAACTTAATTGATATTACAATAACATTTCAAATGCGTTGTGATGGTAACGAAATAATCAGTACTTTTTATTCTTTTAGTGTTGAAAATCACACAATATTTGCGCATTAGCATTCGAAGCATTAAAACCTTTTTCAGAGAGGTCATCCACTATCGATAGTTTTGACTGTATGTCGCTTCCATTCTGATAAATATCGCAATCAAAATTCGAACATTGATTTAAAGAAAGGTTATTGGCAGTCATCGCGTAGCCTGTAGCTAGGTTGAATCTCACATTGTGACTGGTCCGCTGGTGCGGCGCTTGGCGCAGGGCAGCAGGCTTGGTGCTGACGACTGCTGCGACGCGCCGCACCTGCCGCCCTCTGCTTCAGAAACAGGTGAGTTGGCACTGGGTAAGTTAACACATACCTAGACGACATCATTATACTCTGTGTTTACTGAGAGTATCACGTCGAAAACTAGTCAATTTATAAAGTGAAACATAAAAATCAAGTTATTTTCATCATTGTGTACACAAATACCCCTAAATGCCAACCTTAACATGCCAAATTTTGTTTTTAATTTATCAATCATATGGGCTACCAAACAATAAAAAAATGCTTAGTATCCAAAAATGATATTTTAAAAAGACCTGAACAGATTCTTCATACCCATGCTTATAAGAATATACAAAACACAACACATCATTATACATACAAAATACATGTTGACAGCAAAATGGGCATCTTGAATAGTAAGAGGTGAGAAAGATGAAACCGCCTTTAAACATCAAATACTAGGTTTAAAAAAATTATAAAAACACACTTATTAAGATTCGATATATTTTACAATATTTGTTGATTGCATGATTGCATGTCAATAAATGTTACCCCAAAAGACACAAATTTTAGTTGTTTTAGAGTTATAAAAGTACTTCTTTATAACATTGGTGTACCCTGGCACGAGTTTATTTAAGTAGAATTAGCACTTCACAGTAAATATTTTCATAATGTTATTATTTGAGCACTATTAATAAATTCTAATGAAATCATCTTTCGAAGCTTATCGTAAGTTTAAAAGTAACTAAAACATGAACACATTAATCCAAGTGACAGTTAAAAATGAAGCGTTCGTACTGAAGGATAATGTTTCTACAGAAGCAGGGGGCGGGGGTGCGGAAAGCGTTCCAATTGTTGGAGAGAAGCCAGATGTTGGCGCAGAACCCGAGCTGAGCCCAGAACGGACACCTACCAACGAGGCGCCTTTGATGCCCTTACAATCTGGTAACTCATCTATTTCAAGGTCAATCTAAAACTGCTTGCAACAATTGCAATGTAAAGAGCACTTATGTGGATTTTGAGAAATGTAGAGACTTTTTTTTGTAGTGATAAGATCAAGAGAAGCATCTCAAAATAATGTAGATCTATGAAAACTCGCAATGCAAAGAACACTAGCAATGTGTAATTAAAGAAAAGTAAAGCAGAAAGTAGATTTTTTTTGATAAAGTTAAGGTCAAAGAAAGCATCTCATCTTATAATAATGTAAATCTAAGAAAACCTACAATCAAAAAGCACTAGTAATATGTCATTTGAGAAAAGTAGATAATTTTTGTTACTAATAAGATCAATTTAACAAAATCATTTCATGGCCATGTAGATTTGACACGTACACGAAGTAAGGATTTAAAGTAAATACATTGAATTGATCAGCAGCTTCATACGAAAACTAGTTGAAAGCAATGTGTAAATTGAGATAACCAGTTTTTTTTTGGTAATGGTTTGATGAGATCAAGAGAACTCATAATCATGTAGCTTTGCAACGTGCACGAAGCATAGAATTAGCGAGAACATTTAATTGACCTACAGTTTCAAAAGAGTGTGTGGAGGCGCGAGCCGGTGCTGGTGCGCTCGCTCGTCGGGGCTCAGCCAGCTCGGCAAGCACGCCCTCCACACTCGAGCGTACCGCTATCCACATCCCTACACCTCACCAGACACTTTCACCGGGTAAGCTTGGACACAATTTTGTTGATTTTTTCTATCAATTACAATCACCAAGCTAGATTCGATCACTTTTACTTTTCATTATTCAGGCAAAAACATTCGCTACATATCCATAAAATTTCTAATGTTCAAGAAGTTCAAGAAAGTTCTTTGGCTGTTATTTAGATATTATATGTTTATTTCATCAAACAAACAAATAAACATCTATCCGCTATCTAAGTATAGTGAATTACTACCGATTGGCTTAAATCCTTGGATTACTATACAATCGAAATTCTTTTTTTTAGTATAGCTTAGAATAAATATTTAAGGTTATTTTGTCTGTCATCTCGTGAAATCTACTTAATATGATAGAGTCTGTGTGGAAAGAGAATGGGATTTAGATTGGAGGGCGCTGTAGTGCTTTTCTACCGTATTTGTAAGGTTTTACCCCTTTTAGACATGATTAAATACAAAAAACCGCAAGAAATCACAATAACAAACAATACCGTATCAATACAAAACTTTGACGTTTTACAGATTGCTGGGTTTGATTGCCAAATAAAAATCTTAATGTTAGTTCCGTTTTTTGCCACGCCCATTCTCTTTCCGCACAGACTCTATAATTTTTTTTTTAAACTTATTCATAAACAAACAGGGACACACTTATACTACACAGACACACTATCACAAATAATCACATTATTAAATAACACACACACATAACCTGCTTTTGTTATTTTTTCTTCTCCTATATGTTTTTAATGTCCACTTACGTACAAAACTTATATCGACAGTAGAAAAGCAAAATAATTAAAACGCTACTTTAGTAACTTTACAGAAACGAGGATCAAAGTTTTATTTTTCCCAATTTAATATTACTTATTACTAATTTACTTACTTATTAATTATTATTAGGGGAAGGATATTAATATATTGTTATGTGAGAGAAGAAATAAGGGTATAATCAAATTATTTTATAATCCTTTCCAATACAGCTTCGGAGCCAGCACCAGCTGCGGAAGACCCCTTACAACAGAGAGAGGAGACGCCTCCGACGCTGGAGGAGCGGCTCAGTCCTCGAGCGGAGATGAGGCTGGCCCTGGATCAGGGGAAGGATATGCTGGCCGACCAGGAGGTGTCCTGGGTAAGGTTTTGCTTTGTGTATTTGAAAAGCCAGAGAAAATGCAAAGATTGCAACGTATCAAGCACCTTCTTAATGCCATGTTAAATCATCTTCAAGCAATGTTTGTGGGTGTCGGTTAGTAAAAAGGTCGTTAAACATGCAGAAGTTTAACTATTGTATATGAAGAAATGTTTCAAACCTCTCAGTTTCGTAAATTATTGCAAACAAGGTCATGGTTCTTTTGATAGTAGCAGTCGCTTTTGCTCAGGAATCCTACTACATCAAGGGCGTGTCGTTCTGCTGTAAAACTTTAGGAAACCTCAATAGAAAACTCATTTCACATCTTAATAATACGAGATTCGGCACTAATTTGTATCCAAATGTAGATGAGAGCAATATTCTACTTGATATCTATAAAAGTGATCTTTGTTCCGAAGTGAAGGAGGCTATTTCGCTCTATTGAAAACTCTGAGTATCCTAGACAACAAATATACCTGACTTTTAAAAGTTATTATTTTTATGATCGATATGTCATGCATTTTAAATCGCTCAGGTTGGCGGATCCGACCCCTGGTCGTTTCGGTATCGTGCCAGCAGTAGCTACTGCGGCACGTCTCAATACATGTTCGCAAATCACCGGTCATTGGATAAGTGGCCAAGACCATAAAGAATGATACGGAAGGCCCGATAAGCTGTTGGTCCCGTAGCATCTGCAGTCGTTAGCACCCACCAATCCACACTGACCCTGCATTGTTACCTGTAAAGGCCCTTGCCCCAGCAGTGGGGACTAGGCTAGGCAAGAAGCTAGGCAACAACTGATGAAGGACTCGTCTGCTGCCCATACTTGGTTACATTCCCTGAGCATTACATATTTGAATTGCTCAGGTTGGCAGATCTGACCCCTGGTCGTTTCGGTATCGTGCCAGCAGTAGCTACTGTGGCACGTCTCAATACATGTTCGCAAATCGCTGGTCATTGGATGGGTGGCCAAGAACATAAAGAAGGATAGTGAAAGCACGTTAAGCTGTTGGTTCCGTAGCATCTGCAGTCGTTAGCACCCACCAATCCACACTGAGCCTACTTTGTTGCCTGTAAAGGCCCGTACCCTGGCAGCGGGGACTAGGCTAGGCAAGAACTGATGAAGGACTCGTCTGCTGCCCATACTTGGTTACGTTCACTGAACATAACATATTTGAATAGGGATGATGACTAATTTTTTTTTTCTTCGTTTATCAGATAGATTATTAAAAAGTGTTGGACATGTATTTTTTCTTTCTCACATAATATAAACATTGCAGAGATATCTTAATTTGAAAAGTCGCATGACGTCACGTTTTGGTACAGTTTTCACTTAAAAGTTCACGAGCCCCTACTCCCAAACTTAGACGCGCTATAACTTTGTCATTTTTTGGTTGATTGTTCAAAGAAAAAAAATGGATGCGTGTAACTTATGTACGCGCGTGAGAAGTTATACTTCTTTAGCAACATTAAAAATATTTTTTAATTGCATGCAAATAATTAATAATTACAATAAAATAATAAAAAGACTGGAAAAGGATAGTTAACACAGTCAATTAAGTTCAGTTTTAATTTGAAAAATTAAATAAATATTCAAAATATTCAATTAAAATCACTACTGAAATTAAGTTATTAGTCCATATATAATTAGCACTTGTAAGTAACTAAAACACGTTGTGTCTATATAGAAACTAGAAACATGTGGATAAATATTATAAATATGAAAACAGTGATCAGAGGCGACGAGCGTGCCAACATTGTTTTTGACAACGCGATCATCTTATGGAGCTCCGTGGATCGTTCAAAGTACCTTTCGAACAGATGTCTTATATATTAGACACTAACATTCATAACGCGCCCGCGGCCAACTTCATGGTGTTACTATTGTGTTACAGTGATGCGCGCGCATCTCGAAATTTCACTCACATGATTTTTTCATAACGCGCCCGCGGCCAACTTCATGCTGTTACTTTTGGGTTACAGTGATGCGCGCGCATCTAAAAATTTCACTCTCATCATTTTTTCATAACGCGCATAAAGAAGTATGACTTCAAAAATACGTGTCCATTATTTTTTGATCATCTAACTGACGAACTGAATAGAATTTCTTTTACTGTACCCCGTCATCACCCCTATTGCACAGGGTGGCGGGTCCGACCCCTGGTCGTTTCGCGCGGCGTGCCAGCGGTCGCTGCTGCGTCGCGTCGCGAGCGCAGACGCGGTGACCATGTGCCGCGCGCACCCGCACCGAACCGTCCCGCATACTACTTCGCGCAGTTCTGTATATGCCTGGAAGGGTAAGACATAATATACGGAGCGGAAAACTTCTTGAGCAAATCCACAGACAAATAAACTAGCGCAGTAAACGCTTTTGTGTTTACTTTGATACTGCGCAGGCTTCCTTGTCTATTATCGTTGCTAAAGAAGTTTGCCGGGGTGCAAGCGCGGATCCAGAGATGACCCCCATGACCCCCCCTCTGGGCTGGGTCCATCTGTACCCACTTCACAATCTGTACCCACTGTGACTTGACCACGACTGTATGACCCCCCCCCCCCCCCCCTGGCGCCAAAGCTGGATCCGCCCTTGCCGGGGTGTATACCTCTACTTCCACTATCTAAGTAGTTAACAACACAAATTCTTATATGAGGAGCTCAATGGCGCAGGTGGTTAGCGCGTTCGGCTGCGATCGTTGAAGTTAAGCAACTGTCGCAGTGGTCGGTCAATGGATGGGTGACCAAAAATTTACTATCTCGAGCTCCTCCGTGCTTCGGAAGGCACGTTAAGCCGTTGGTTCCGGCTGCATCTGCAACCGTTAGCACAATCCGCACTGGGCCCGCGTGGTGGGTCATGGCCCAATATCCCTATTCCATCCATAGGGAAGGCCTGTGCCCCAGCAGTGGGGACATTAATAGGCTGATGATGATGATGATGATACTCCCCGGCAAACATCTTAAGCATAAATCATACACAATTAACATATAAAAAAGTCTACGCTACAATTTTGTCCATGGTATTATTCAAGAAATTAGGCACTTCATAGAGTTTTGTTTAACTATCCGAGTATATAATAATCATTTTGAAAACGCGATTCATGAAAACCTACAAAATATCAACTTTGTTTTCAAAAGGAATCAACATTTACCCACCCAAACAAACTGTAGTCTGAAACAGTTTTATCAAATATTTAAATTTTAAAAATGTTTAACACTTTATTTCTGTAATATAAATACAAAATATGGTAACGGTTTTTTTGAACAAAACTATTAAGTTATCACTTTTGAACAATAGGTACAAATAAAATATGTTAGAATTACCTAAATTCAAAATTCAAAATACCTACTGTTAAACATATACTAAGTTCCAGAAAGCGAAACGAAGACTATGGAGATGGAACAATTGGCACGAGTGGAAGCTCAGATGATGCGTTCGCGGACGCGCTCTCTATGCCAGAACGGGAAGATGTGAGTATTGTTAACGCCATCTATCGTAAGCTTGTGAAAACACATATTCCTTCTCCCTTCCCCTAAACTCACCTGTTGTCAACTTCGTCCGCGGCGCTGCCATCAGTGTACTTCGATCGAACGGACGAGAGAAAAAGCAACGGTCGTTGTGTGCTCAGATCGCCGCGAGAGGAGTTACAAGGAGAAACTCCCACCACGTCCCAGGACTCCCGTAGCATAAACACCGCGATAATTATGATATGATTAAGGTGTTTATCGACACTCAACTCCATTATAGTTCGATAGTCAATGTCGATAACTCGATTTATCATATTGCGTTTTGATGGTCATGCTACAGGGAAGCTAAAACTCTCTTGGTTAACTTTAGATTTGATTTGTTTCCTAGAATGGGTTTCCTCCGTCGTCGGGCGTCATCCGATAGCCCCCGCCGCGAGCCGCTGCTGCTCGGCAGCGGGACGGCGCCCAGCCGGCCGTTCTCCCCGCGCCGCACCACTGTGAGCAACAACGGCTATTACAAGATTTGCTTTGTCAATGGCTATGTGTAACGCACGCACCACTGGCTTCTATGTGCCAACCAGCTGGATTTAAACGTTCCACTCCAGTCAGTTCATCTGTTACGGGCAAACCTCGATTTTTAAATTTTCGAAGTCGTTTTTGTCTTTTGACCTGTGTTAAATGAATGCTCCCTCTAATAATGTTCAAGTCAATTGGTTGGATATTTTTATCCATCTTCTTTTATCGGCTAAGAGTGCTGAGCCATTTATATAATTAATCTTTTAATAATTACTTGGAAATCTTTTTTGGTTTAAAAACTGTTTTTAATATTCAAGTTATTGTGAACGAAGGCAATATAAATACAAGTGTTATATTATAACGTAATAAAAACTTAATTTAAATTAAATTACGAGTTAGGGTTAAGTTAAATACGAGTAAGTAGGTTGTGTGTGAAATTTCAGTAAATTTTAATTGGCCAATGAAATTGCCTTTTAAACTTAATTGATCTTTAAGAAATTAAAATGTTATATAATATTGATAAAACCAACTAACATTTCAGGGTTAAACTTTCATGTTTGGACGAATATTATATTCACTTAAATTTAATTGATAAAATTGTTATTTAAATTGTAAAAGCCTTTGGCACTAGCGATTCATGTCAATTGTTCTGTCCTCCTTTTGATTATTATTAGTCTTAAAGTTTAAATCCAGCTTTCAGAATTACGCTAAATCAATTATTGTTTTCATAAGTTATTAATTGGTGAACTGATCTGTCCATTTAAATTGGAACGGGGTGTTCTCGAAAATATATTTTTACGAAAAATTCATTGCGCTTTTCATTCTTGTCATCCTGCAGCTACCGCCCTTCCTTCAGTTGGTCCGTCCTTATTCTTTCTATACGCTATTATAACCTTATATGTGCTCTTATTGTTTATTATTTAAATAGCTAACACGTTCGCAACAATCTATAGTTTACAATCGTTTCTAAACACACCAATAACCACCTTATAGACAAATAGTTTAGAGTCCATCACTCGAACACTACTCAGCATATTAAAGTAAGTGCTCTTATTACCCTGTGATCAATGTAATATTTTACAGGAGAAACAATTCGAGAAAAGGTTCTGGAAACAAGTGACTAGAAGACGTCAATCATGTGGCTCCATAAGCCAAATATAAACAGTCTCTATTTAAAAAGAAATGTGCAAAATGGTGTTCATGTTAAATACTAGAATCATACTCATAGAATTACTTGATAAATTTGACTAAGTATTAGATAATGTAAGTGTAGGTAGCAATTTGTGCTTCATAAATGGAGCATCAAAAAAGAAATTGTGTGATGGACATTTTGTCATTGGTGTATCGATATAGGTTGAAATTGAAGAAAGGACATTGGGCAAAAATGTATGGACGCTACACCCACGTCCGCCACGTCTTAAACTACATTTGTTTGAAAGATATTAAAGTAATGATCATCTGTGCCAAAGCGCATCAAATTCCATCCTGGGGGTCTTTAGATATTTTAAATTAAATAGGTACAAGTACTATAACGAACGAACATTAATGAAACAAGGGAATTAATTTAGTAAGTTAGTTCGACTGTACATAGAGGACTCAGGTATTATGGGAGTACTTCACAAGGTGCAAAGATGCCCCTCTATGTTATTCTGCCTTCTGTAAATCCAAAAATCCCCGCATGGGTTGGGGATTTTTCAATCAGTCTGTTCGTTATAGTAAATTGTCTTCTATATAAAACGGATCAACCACAAATCACACAAACTTGTCCACATTTCTTGGTCGGAGAAAACATGATTCCAGTTCATGCATACTAATTGACAAAACCGATAGTCATGTTCCAATGTCCAAAGCGAAAAATCAATCAAGTGACAGGGAGCGCACAATCACAACGAAGTAAGACGAGTCGACCATTTGCAACAAGCAAGCAAGTCTCTCAATGTGTCATATCTTTGGACTACCAGATATATTTTTTTGGTGTCATATCTTTTGAATCCCAGGATATTTTTTACGGTGTCATAATAAAAAAGGCTAGTTTTTCATAGATCTATCGATTCATACTAATTACATTGTTGGCGGAGCTGGGTGTGTTTTGCCTATTGTCCTTTATAAAGTAAAATTACTTGAAGTGCTACTTGAAAATAGACTGCCAAATGATGACGGAGGTGCAAAAGTAATGCCAAATAACCTTGACGAAATTGACGAACGGGACCTGTCGACTGTACTTCATATCGTAGATAGAAAAAACAAAATTATGTTTTATTGTACATTATTTAACTGTAGATATAGTACTCCTAAGTTGTATATATTCAAAGAGCGGTTCAATGTTTCTCTAAGTAGTTGTACAGAAATAAAGTCTAGATCCTTGTTTTTAATACTGATGCTTTTTAGAAAATATTGTATAGAACTGTATGAAGAAATGGATTAGGCTAACTGTCGCTGTTAATAGGTGATTAATGAAACTGTTAACTGTTTTTCTGAATATCACTGTTGTAATAAATATCTTTTCTGGTTGTAAATGTACTTTCGTCCATTTTTTGTGTCGTGAAATTGTCGGAGCTTAAATTTTTATGTAGCACATCTCAGATAAATCTATTTATGTCTCTATAATTCATCTTTTCGGTAGGATGGTGTATTGAAAATAAGCAAAACGGCTATTCGTAATATTTGAATGTATTTTGTAGATTCATGTTAAAATTGTACGATCAAATCGAATTTATTAATTTTTAAAGCATATTTTAACATATTCTGTTTGTACCTATGATCTGGTTCTGGATTATTTCGAAAATTTAAAATAAAGTCCAAAAAATTATTAACACTTTTATTTTTAAATCACCTAAATTGAACATTACGTTTTTAAGGATTGCTCGTTGCGATAATGAAGCTAGATAGATTTATTTCAGAAAACAAAACGTTATTGATGCCGTCATAGGAGCTAAGTACAGCAAAATGTCGGTTCAAAAAGATGAGTGAGTCAAACAAGAAGTAAAATGTTAAATTACGCATATTTTATTACAAATATCAAAAATACACTTTGTTGATGGTTGAAAATCCAAATGAGAAATCAAAAAATAATAAACACATTTGCGTAGCACCACTGAGTTTGTCATACATCAGATATTAGTACAATTGTTAGTTATATATTTAGAAATATTCTTATTGGAGACTAAAAACAGGGCTAAACAGACCTTTCATGAAAATATACATATACCTGTTTGATAAGTAGGTATAATTATTTTTTTATTCGTTTAAAATAGTCTCCAATAGGAAAAGAATAAAGTTAATTTAAAAAAATATTGAGCACTCTTGCACAATCCCGTCTCCCATCATACCCACATTGCAGTTCTCACATAGCAATAAAGGCAAGACTTTAGTAGAAATTATTTTCAAACTAAGAAATAAAACATCGGTGCCAATTCTGGCGTGATTCTCTAAACTTAATACTAAATAACATCAGTCTCTCCTTTTCATTCTGTATAGAGAATGACAAGGATATACTGCTGTCAAATTTAAGTTTAGGTTTAGAGAATCATGCTAGAATCGACACCATTATTAACTTGCCTAAACTGCTAGGTATAAACGACCCTTACAAATTATATTTACAACTATGTAAGCAATGAGATATTAAGTATCTATCAATTCACAATATTAATAAAAAATAAAGATATAGAAAAATAATTAATTATGCATCAGAGTTTAGATAAATTTAAAGCTTATTTTAATTATCGACATGATTTTAATAGAAAATAGACTAAATAGCAAGCTTATTTATAATAATATCAAGATTTAATTACACAATACAATTGTCACTTTTTGTATTTCAATTCGATGGAATGTACATGAAGAATTCTTATTTAGCCAATTTACTAAGCAATTCAAATTTGCTCATAAACTACGTTTTGGCACAGTTACTATATAAATATTTTATTGTGATCAATTTAAGTATATCTTATACTATATTAAGTTTATAATAATAGATCTCAGTTATAATTAATGGTAAGTACATCGATGGTACACCTTTTACGGCTGCGGCAGACGTCAAATTAATTGTTGATAAAATTTTACCGTTAGTGTATTATGAATTAGCTTAAAATTAAAATATTATCAGAAAATATCAAAAAAATATATGAAATATTTTAACAGGATTATTTGCGAACGGACCTTAATAACACTGTTCAAGAACTAAAATAAAAAGATGATTTATGGGAATATACAGAAACTTATTTCAAAAGGCAGTGAGAGATATCACTAGTTTCCTGAATATTAATCTAAAAGTATATTTTTCTAAGGAAAATATTGTACATTTTCATTTTTATTATTGCATAATTCTATTATTGTTCAACAATAAGTGGTGACGATCGAATGACTATGACTATATAATATCATATTGCATTGTATTTGAACTAAATTAACTTTTCATATCAGCGCCATCTGTTGACGCAACTATATTACAAATTATGGCCTGAATTTCAATGCGTTAGCGCATTAAAAAGAAATTAATTTGACTTGACTTGTTTTCTTCATATTTAATCGCGCCATTCTCTCGAGGAGGCTTGGAATGTGCGGACTTCAGATGTCGTGAAGGTAGATAAACCTTGAGGACCTGAAACGAAATGCATCTTTGAAAATCACTTTTTCTATGAAAGTAAGTAACTAGATAAGCGGCAAACTCCTTGAGCAACCACGAACAAATAAACTTGCAGTAAACGTTCTTGTATTTAAAATTAGTACTGCGCAGGCTTCCTTGTCTTTGGTCGATGTTCAAGAAGTTTGCCGTACAACTATAGCCTGTATTCTTGCGCAGAATCATTCCTTTGGACCAATTTATTACAAATAATGAGCTCTGAAGAGCACGATGGGACAAGCGGTTAGCGCGTTCTGCTGCGATCATTTAAATTAATCAATGTTGGTAGTGGACCGTCATTGGATAGGAGGAAATTTACTATATCGAGCTCCTCCGTGCTACGGAAGGCACGTTAAGCCATTGGTCCCGGCTGCATCTACAGTCTTTAGCACCCACCAATCCGCACTAGACCCGTGTGGTGGGTCATGGCCCGAACTCCCTATTCCATCCATAGGGAAAGCCTGTGACCCAGCAGTTGGGACATTAATAGGCTGATGATGATGATAATGAATTACTCCTCCTCCTCGATGAATCCTCCGTGGTCGAGCGCGATTCATTGCTCCACCACTTCGGTGGTAGAGCACAGATGGATGAACCTAATGCTTGATGGAACTATATAAGTTATTGACCAGTCCCCGTTGACTTACCTCTGATCCTCTGTCTGGGCATGGGTGGAACGTCACCGTCGGGCGTGGTCCGGGTATACAGATGGACCTAGGATGCTTGATGGAACTATATAAGTTGTCGACCAGTCCCCAATAACTCACCTCTGATCCTCCGTGCGAGCGTGGGTGAGACGTCACCGTCGGGCGTGGTCCACGTGGACAGATGGACCTAGTGCTTCATGGAACCAATTGGTTATCGACCAGTCCCCGTTGACTTACCTCTGATCCTCAGTCCGGGCGTGGGTGTGATGTCACCGACGAGCGTGACTTGCGTGGACAGTTGGGCCTAATGCTTGATGGAACTAATTGGTTATCGACCAGTCCCCTTTGACGTACCTCTGATCCTCCGTCTGGGCATGGTTGGAACGTCACCGTCGGGCGTGGTCCGCGTATACAGATGGACCTAGGATGCTTGATGGAACTATATAAGTTGTCGACCAGTCCCCAATAACTCACCTCTGATCCTCCGTGCGAGCGTGGGTGAGACGTCACCGTCGGGCGTGGTCCACGTGGACAGATGGACCAAGTGCGTCATGGAACCAATTGGTTATCGACCAGTCCCCGTTGACTTACCTCTGATCCTCCGTCTGGGCATGGGTGGAACGTCACCGTCGGGCGTGGTCCGCGTGGACAGATGGACCTAGTGCTTGATGGAACTAATTGGTTATCGACCAGTCCCCTTTGACGTTCCTCTGATCCTCCGTCTGGGCGTGGTCCGCGTGGATAGATGAACCTAGTGCTTGATGGAACTATATAAGTTGTCCACTAGTCCCCAATAACTCACCTCTGATCCTCTGTGCGAGCGTGGGTGAGACGTCACCGTCAGGGCGTGGTCCACGTGGACAGATGGACCTAGTGCTTCATGGAACCAATTCGTTATCGACCAGTCCCCGTTGACTTACCTCTGATCCTGCGTCCGGGCGTGGGTGTGATGTCGCCGACGAGCGTGACCCGCGTGGACAGTTGGGCCTAATGCTTGATGGAACTAATTGGTTATCGACCAGTCCCCTTTGACGTACCTCTGATCCTCCGTCTGGGCATGGGTGGAACGTCACCGTCGGGCGTGGTCCGCGTGTACAGATGGACCTAGGATGCTTGATGGAACTATATAAGTTGTCGACCAGTCCCCAATAACTCACCTCTGATCCTCCGAGCGAGCGTGGGTGAGACGTCACCGTCGGGCGTGGTCCACGTAGACAGATGGATCTAATGCTTGATGGAACTAATCGGTTATCGACCAGTCCCCGTTGACTTACCTCTGATTCTCCGTCCGGGCGTGGATGTGATGTCACCGACGAGCGTGGCCCGCGTGGACAGATGGACCTTGTGCTTGATGGAACTGATTGGTTATCGACCAGTCCCCTTTGACGTACCTCTGATCCTCCGTCCGGGCGTGGGTGTGACGTCACCATCGGGTGCGGTCCACTGCTCCACCACTTCAGTTGCGGAGCGTGCTAACGAAGGCTGGCTTGCAGAACGGTGCAGCGAGTGGCGAGACCAAGATCTGTGCCAAAATCATAACGATATTAAAAACAATGTTACATTTATTTGGAAATGTGATAGAATAGCAGCGACAGTGGTTTTCCGTGATCAATGAGTCACAAACTATTTTGTCTTATGATGCATTTTGTCATGTATGTACGTATGCTAAATAATGACAAGAAAAATAAAACTTTATAATTATTATTTCAGTTTTTCAAATACAATCATTTTTACTTAAAATGAGATTTAAATTTTAATAACTCAGAAACTTCAAATTACTGCAAATCAAATTCTAAAAAATTTTTAAATTGTCCTTGCTATTGACTAGATACAAGGATGGTGATATCGTTTTGTAATGAAATCTCTACATTTTTCATCAGTATAATTATATTCCAGCCCTGCGAAGTCAGGCGAGTCGCTAGTATTAAAATAAAGTTGTTTTGCAACAGCTCAACCTATGCCAGCTATGATTATGATCGACGGCTTGAAGCGCCGCGGCGAGCGATGGGAAGATGTAAAAAAAGTTAGTCTCATGTCATTAAACGAAGCCCAGAGCAACGGGGCTAGCGTAAAGCTAAGCCCATCGCTTAGACAAAACTCATGGCCAGGCAGCTGGAACTAAACTATTACGATATCACGATGAATTGCGTTGTAGCAATAAGTCTGGCCAAGAGTTAAGTATGTTTATCGCATAATACTCACTGTGGGTTGTGGAAGGGGTGTTCGGAGTCACTATCGTCGTCATAGTAGCGGCCGAGCTGCGTTCCCGACACCTCCGAGTGAGTGTCCGCCTGCTCACGTGCATAGTCAACCATCATCTCCGACATCGACCTGAAAAGGAAAATATCTTGTTGGTCATCGTCATCATATCAGCCGAGAGACGCCCACTGCTGGACATAGGCCTTCCCCAAGGAATTCCAAACCGAATGGTATTGTGCTGCCCGCATCCAGCGACTTCCCACGACCTTCACCAGATCGTCAGTCCACCTTGTGAAGGGCTTACCAAGGCTGCGTCTCCCGGTACGAGCTGCCACTCGAGGACCACCAATCCCCCACGGCCGTCAGTTTTTCTTGCAGTGTGTCCTGCCCACTGAAACTTAAGGCTAGTAATTGTTCGAGCTATGTCGGTGACCTTAGCTGTCGTGCGGATCTCATCATTTCAGATTCGATCGCGAAGAGAAACCCTGAGCATAGCCCTCTCTACTGCCCTTTGGGTGACTTTGAGCTTTCTTGTGAACCCATTGTGAACGACCACGCCTTGGTTCCATAAGTTAACTTAAACTCTAAAGACTTCTTTCTCTCTCTTTCTTTAAAGAAAGAGAAAGAATACTTTAGAGGTAGTGACAGCAACATAGTAGTCATCGGACATCTTCCGTTAATAATAATATTAATAATAATTTATTTATTAGAACCACTTCACATTGATCCTGATTATCCTATAAAACAGGCGTGAAGAAGCAATTATGCAGGCCATCAAGGTGAGAATGGCTGGTGTGGCAGGTAAAACTGCTGCACCGGCTATCTTCGCATCTGGACTCCACCGTCACTTAACATTAGGTAAGGTGAAGTCATCTGCCAGACCTATTAAAAAAAACCGGCCAAGTGAGAGTCGGACACGCGCACCGAGGGTTCCGTACAAACTTAATTTAATACCTCTACGCGTTCATGAGAAAAGAGGTAGTAACTTTAATTTTTTTTTTATTATATGATGTAACTAAAAACTTACGGTTATCGCAATTTTTCCTTTATCTGTACTATAAGACGTTACTTCGTACCAAATTTCAAGATTCTAAGTTCACAGGAAGTACCCTGTAGGTTATGATTCCCGTGCGAATTTCGAAAAGCGACATAAACGGCTTTATCTTTTGATTGCTTTGGCTTAGAAGTTTGTTTTTTTCACTGCTCCAAGAAACAGTAGACACGAGTATTAGACATGAAAATCATGAAACCTCTCTTTCTGAGAAACACGGTCTTGACAGACGGACAACAAAGTGATCCGTTTTTTCCTTTACACCCTTAAAAAAATATCTCACCTCATGTCAACATGGTCGCTGCGGTATGAGGATCTCCTGGATCTCTGCGGCTCCCGCAGCGATGTGGCGTCACTGTCGTACTCGTACAACGTGGGCAAGGAACTGCGCCGCGAACGCGAGTCCCACTCGGACTTCTTACGGTAACGATTCTGAAAGACAACGATAAAAATGTATTATAGGACAAATAGGACAACAATACATCGGTTTTTTACCGGTTACATTTCGGAGAGTGTGCCTTGGAGTTACACAACTTAATTCCACCTTCACCTTTTTACCACAGAACCACCAGAGAGACGGCAAAACGTCACAGATATACCGTACAGGTCCCGCAACGTACTAAACGGTTTGCTTCCACTATATCGTCTATCTATCGTCTATATCGTCAGAACAGATAGGTTGTGGAACTCTTTGCCGGAATCTCTGTTTCCAGTCACCTACAATCTGGGGCTCTTCAAGTCGCGAGTGAATCGATTTCTTCTAGGCAAGCGCGTACCACCTTAGGCTGCTACGTCGCTTCATCAGTCGCGTGGCTGTCAAGCGTAAGCCAACTTAATGTAAAAAAAAAAATATGCAGACGTATTGGAGGCCCTGGGCATATTAGGATAATGGGGCCCCTATGATCCCCGTTTGGTGATTTAACAGGTCTATGGACTTTGTATTCGATCTGAGGAGGCCCCTGTCGATCGCGGGGCCCTGGGCACTTGCCCAAAGTGCCCGCTGGGAAAGAGGGGCCTGAATACATGCATTGTTCTGATTTAAACATCAAAATCAAAAAATGATCTAAGTCTAGTATCAATGCGAAATGATGAGGATATAACCATCTTTGAGGTGGTCGACCCTGGAGAACTCTTTCCTGACTAGCTCGTATTCCATGGTTCCAATGTAAATGCTTTACAACCAACTGACCTGGGTTTTACCTAGTCTTAACCCAGCCCCCCTAGCATGAGCACCGCGATATGATAAATAACGCGTTTTTATCACGCTCAATAGGGATGATGACTAATTTTTTTTTTCTTCGTATATCAGGTAGATTGTCAAAAAGTATTGGACACGTAGTTTTTTCTTTTTTCACATAACATAAACATTGCAGAGATATATTGATTTGAAAAGTCGCATGACGTCACATATGAATACACTTTTAAGTGAAAACTCACTAAAAAGTGACGTCACGAGCCCCTACTCCCAAACTTTGACGCGCTATAACTTTGTCATTTTTTGGTTGAATGTCCAAAGAAAAAAAAACGTGTCCATTATTTTTTGATCATCTAACTGACGGACTAAATAGAATTTCGTTTACTGTACCCCGTCATCACCCCTGTTGTCAAATTACTATAGAGTTTGACAGTTAAACGCGATAAAAACATGATATACTGTAAATTGTAGTGCTCACTCTACAGGGGCTGGGTTCCCTTAAGTTTACGCCGCAACCTTTAGGTTTAACTTTCTGATATTAGAAGCTTCTCAAAGTTATCCTAAAACGAAAAGACCATAATCAACGTTAGGCTTATCTGATGCCGGCACTTCAGTTGACTATTCGTCTAAAGAAAATATAACTAGAAAAAAATCCACGCGGACCAGGCAGCAGACGGGACTCGACCCCGCACCCTTCGCAATCCGGGCGAATGCACTGACCAATTATGCTACCGCGGCCCTCACGGACCGCGTCGAAATTCCTCTAGCCATTCTTAAGCTGCAAGGCAGCGCCATCTCCTCGCATTATAGGTGTCCCACGTAGTGGATTTTTTTCTAGTTATATTTTCTTTAGATTTAAACATCAAACAGTTACATGCTTTAAAAAATAATAAAAATTTGACTATTCGTGTTTGCTATTAGCAAACTTGACATCAGCCTGTCCTTTCTTACCATATAAAATATGATAAGGACAGACTGTTGTCAAGTTTCCAAATAACAAACACCAATACCCAAGGAAAATGCCAGCATAATGACCAGACAAGTATTAGTATGATGTCGGAGCGAAATACTTCTAATTTAACAGCTATCTGTAATTTGAAAGATTACTAAGACACCTTTAATTGACTTATCTGATGATAAGCGAAGTATTCGAATGATGTCACAGTAAAATACTTCTAATATAATTACAAATTATGCTTATCCTAAATTGGAAGATCAGTATGATACCAACTGTAAGCTTGTCTCATGACCAGATAATTTTATTATCAGATAACGTAGCCGTAGTATGATTACGTAATAGGGTATTTGACAAGTTTTGGAAAACGATCTCCCGTTATTTACTAATGTTTATGGAGTCCATAAAAAGTGGATATTCATCATTCTCTTGTGTATTTTAGTAAAAATAACTAAATCAGAAACTCAATTTTCAAGTTGCCGCGAAAACGTTTCTCTGGGCAATGTGGTGTCTCACTGGTGTGTGACGTCACACGACTATCATTAAAACGTCAAACGATAGAATGTAATGTCACTTTGACCGGAAGTTTACTAGTGTGTGACGTCATTTTAAGCTCCGCCAATCCCAGGCGTTTTCAATCACGTGACAATAGATATGAAAACTAACTCAAAACTCTTTTTCGTGGGTTTTTAGTAAAATTATGAATATTTTTTCTGTAATTATAGTAAAACACCCTGCCAATATTCATTCTAAACACAGATGCTAACAATTGGCCCTTTATTTTTAATACTATCAAATACCCTATTCAATTTGAACTTTTAATGTAGCTATCGTTTATCCCTACTAGTAAGATGAATAGAACAGTAACCTTGGGTTTATCCGGCGGTGGGGCCAGGATGCGTATGATGACTTCCCATTTGTGGGGCGGGTAGAGCGGGGCGAAACGATGATCGTGAGCCACTCTGGAGAACTCCTCCCTGGTGGAAGACCTGGCCAGTTCCCGGCGAAGGGTGCTCTCATGGGTGATCACCTCACGCCAACGGAGACGTTCCTCGCGAGTGAGGCGGAGAGAGCGCTCGGTGTCGAGGAGAATCTGATGGAGGAAAGAATTTATGTCTCTTGGTAGTTTGCAACGTCGCGTCGCCTCGCAAACTATTTGTTTTTGAAGTTATACTTCTTTAGGCGCGTTATGAAAAAATGATGAGAGTGAAATTTTGAGATGCGCGCGCATCACTGTAACACAAAAAATTACCAACTTCATGCTGTTATTTTTGTGTTTACCGCACATTAAGAAAATCTACCAACAAAATAGAATCTCCATTTTGTGGGTGCTAACGACTGCATTGTGAAGGCCTATCAAAAGTATTTATTAATCTGGAACAACGGAACCAAAGCGCGATTCAGGAGACTACAGCGCCATCTCTTGACCATTGGTGTAGTAGAACCAAAAACCACATCTTTATCTTTTGTAATAAAGTAACAAAAAGTATTTATTAATCTGGAACAACGGAACCAAAGCGCGATTCAGGAGACTACAGCGCCATCTCTTGACCATTGGTGTAGTAGAACCAAAAACCACATCTTTATTTTTTGTAATAAAGTAACAGTTATAGTTATTCATATTTATAATATTTATCCACATGTTTCTAGTTTGTATATTCGGAATACGTGTTTGAGTTTCATACAAGTGCAAATCACTTATGTTCTAATAAATTATATTCAGCAGCGATTTTAATTGAATATTTTGATTATTTATTTATTTTTTCAAATTAAAACTGAACTTTATTGACTGTGTCCTTTTCCAGACTTTTTATTAATTTATTGTAATTAATTATTTGCATGCAATTAAAAACTAATTTTAAACGATGCCAAAGAAGGATAACTTCTCACGCGCCTACATAAGTACACGCACCCATTTTTTTTAAATTAAAAGGATTCAACTGCTAGAGGTATAAATCTAAAAAAAAATACTAGAAAAAAAATCCTTGATTCGAACCCACACCATACGCTATCCAGGTGGATGCACTGACTAATTATGCTACTGCGGAGACAACACCTTTTCTATTTTTTTTTATTGAAAAAATTATCTTTCATAGTTCTGTCCGACAAAAATTTCAGACACTTTTTTATCTGGTGGTTGCCTTGCGAGTAATTTGATTTTTTTGTATTATGTGAGACAATCCAAAACACAATACAACTATTTTGAGAAAACTTGAATATATTATAGGTTGTGAATCTAATATCCTCGTTGTGGGGTTATTAAGGTACTACTATTTCAAACTTGACCCTCTTAATAATTAAAAGCGTTCTTGACAATATATATAGACAGAATAGAGGGCGCCCGCGACTGTAGTTTTATTAAGAATCCCTCGAGAACCCAAAATTTTTCGGGATAAAAAGTATTCCATGTCTAATTTCAGATAATAAACTTTATGTGTGCCAAATTTCATCCAAATCCCTTCAGCCGTTTTTGTGTGTTTGAGTAACAAACAAACTCACGTTAGGATTAGTTAGGATACTCATTTAAAACTTATGTTCAGTCTAATCAATTTCGGAACTAAGTCGAATCGCTGGTACTTTATGAGGATTATTAACCATATTAAATTCACTCACCTCATCCTGAGCCTCAGTCTTCAGCACTCTGGTAAGCACGCTCCAATTAGGCGGTACTGGTGGGGCGGGTGTGGGATCAGGCACGTCTTCATCATCATCGTCCCTATAGAGGGGGTTCCTGGCAGGAGGCAGCTCCGGCAGTAAGGGCAACTGGCCAGGCGGGTGCTGCGCGTGACTGGAGCGATCCGTCTGCTTAATGAGCTCGGGGGAGAAGAGGTCTGGACCGCCTTTTCCTGTAAAATATTTGTGTTAGAAACCTTTGCCATAACACAAATAAAAAAAAACGACGGGTTGCACTCCGGGAGTGCCGGCAGAAGTGAAAACTTAAATATTAACGTTGTGCATTTTTGATATTTTGGAATGGTAAGGGAATAATTTTGCACGAATTGCTTTAATTATCAGTATAATAGTACTATTATGTATGTGGTAGAATACAATATTTATTTATTGCGCTATCGTACACAAACATGACAATTTATTATTATTACATTAAAAAAGTTTATCTCTCAGAAAAATCAACTTACATGAATCACGTTTAAGCGCACTTAGCGACATCTATTGTAAAGAAATCAACTTACAAGAATTACATTTAAGCGCAAAAATATTATATCACTTCAAACAGACAAAAAGTCGTAAGCCATAAATAAAAATGCAAAACTGCACCAATGGCGATAGCAATGGCGGCGTAAAAAAAAATTTGGTTATTCACGATTTTTCATTGCTTTCTATAAAGTACCGTTGCTACTTCTAACTCGCAATTACTGTTCAATCGAGATTATTTGTATGAGAGTATGTCTTAGGATTAAGTAATTATTGGTACAGTATTACAATCATTCCGATTGAAAGATCAGTACCCTTATCACAAACTAATATTTAATTTGAATAGTAGTGTGATTGCCACTTGTTGTGTCAAATTGTGGCGGCTACGTGTAAGTAACTAAATCCACACTAAGAAGCCACTTACCTATATATTTCTGCGGCGGTAGTGATAACGGCACCCTCTCCATCTTCGGCGTCAGCGTCATGCCCGAGGCACTGCTGATATCAGAGAAGTTCTCCCACTGAGCTTCAGGCATAGTATGGTTGCGAATGGTAACATCGAACTGCGGCGGCGGTGGCGGCACCTGCTTGTACTCGGTGACAAGGCGTTTGTGCCTCTCTATGTCTTCTATAGTCTTCTTCTCAGTTATAGTACGGAGGAACACGTCGTCCACTACATGGGACGTGATTTCTGGTTTCCTGTCAAAGATTTCAATTACCGGTTAGTTAGTAAATGTGAATTTGAATTAAGTCAGTGACTTTAGCGATATTTTCTTGAGTTCCTTGTTAAATATGAAAAGCATGTCTACACTTCTAACGATCGATTTCAGGCAATTATTACCAAAAATTAGAACTAACCAGCCTTTTGAGATGTTTCTTCTTAAAGTTGATAAAGTAAATACATAAAAAGGAAATAGAGAAAAAGTTTATATTTTTACGACTGTGAAATGAATACACATGTACTAAAGTTTAGCTGTCAAACTCAACACGTTCTCTTGGCCAGAAGCAGCCCATCCTTCCAAGGAATAATCTCTTTAAGTATCGCATTTTTCACATTAATTTACAATTAGAGGAAACATCAACTAAATGATAGTGATTTGGTGTACAACCAACATTACATGTTTTACTTTATAAATGTGATGCCAGACTACGTTGGCTAGATTTATGTGATTACTCTCTAATACTAAAGTACAATGTTACTATGTACAAGTAATTAATTTTGAAGTATAGTAACAACTAAGAGCAAATTCTTATGTAATGCTTTTTAAACTAAAACAGAATGTCAGCTCTCATTAAGGATTTTTTTATGCTTAATTTGGTGGACATTGTTGTTGGTGTCACAATGACTAAATGTAACAGCTATTGTGAGACTGTTTTAGCCCTAAATAAATGAAAAAAAAAAATATTCCTTTACCTGGCTGGCATGATGGGTGTCTCAGGTATTGGCTCCAAGCTCTCCATCAGCACTTCTTGCTCTTCTGTCTCCAGACGCTCGCTCATCATTGGAGGAGGTGGAGGAGGTTTCTTTGTAAAAGATAACAAACACAAAATTACTAACAACTTTAATCAAAAAAATTACTAGATAGGCACCCAAGCTTGGAGGCGTTTAAGGCAACCATTTCCCAATTTAGGCTTTCCTTAAAGGACAGTCAAAACAGGCAAAGTCAAATTCTATTTTATTCTGAATTTTCTGAATTTCAATACCATTCAGAATATTATTTATTTTCTTTATTAAATTGATTTGAACAATTTTCTGCGGTTTCAAAATCTGTCGAACCGATTTTAATTCAATAGATCTTACATAAATCTAAGAGGCAAGTTATGATGACAAATTTTCCAATAGAGGAAGCTATAAATATCACTTAAGATTTGTGTCAACTCCGAGTCCAAAATATAAGTGGACAATTAATTACGTTGTACGAAAAGATCTTGTGCATGATGTGCCGAGGTCTAAGCCTCATTAGTAGCACTAATTCGACATTGAAAGCGCCTTTGTAGCGTAGCAATAACAGCAATATTTGTAGCATAAATATATCCAAAACAATCAATAATATAACAATCATGCCATGAAGCTTGTACTTGACAATGTCCATGGCCTGGACTTGTACTTGGCGAAGTGTCTGCTAGAGTTAACTGAACAACAATGGTAATGAATGCTTAGTAGTGGTGGATACATGCAATTAAACGGTTGCGAAGTTAGTTACAAGCGCAACCATGCGCAGGTAACAGTTCAGTAATACCCCGCAATCACCTACTTTCATTTACTGCTCCGCGACTTGCGCTAACTTCACAGCCGCTATTAAGTCTGAATGGCGCTATAAGTGACTCAATCCTTACCCTGATATGGAACATCCTAGCGTGCGAGCGGTCAGTGACCTCGGTGACGGAGTGAGTGTCCGTCATCTCCGTGTTGAGGGACACGACGGACCGCGGCCCCCGCGACCACTCCTGGTTAGTTAGTTAGGTGATGGTAATGACATGAGGTTTTAAATCGGTGGGTAGAAATATAAGTCTTCCCAAAAAAGATGGAACAGTTTATATTTCACTAGGACATCAGTAGTAATATTTCAGTCAGCTAATGTTTTCTAGCCTTTGTAGCATAGCCAACGCAACACTATATGATCTAAATATATATCGACGTGTGAGTGTCAGAAGTGTCTCCCTATTCCATCCAAGGAAAGGCCTGTGCCCCAGTAGTGGGAGCATTAATAGGCTGATGTATCAAAATGTCATGAATTTTTCCTAGTAGGTGCAAATAAAGTTTTATATCATGTTGCCATTTTTTGGTGTATAAGTTTAGATTGCTTAGTGTCGCCGCACACGGGCCACCGACCACAACCACAAAACGACGCCACCGGCATATTTCTAGTAGTTTTCATACATTTTATATGGACTCGCCACACACGGTACTCGGTGGCCGCCACGCGCTACAAATCGTCGTTGCTCGCTTCTTGTGGCCCGCACCGGCCACTTAATGCGCCGATACAAAACGCCGCCACACGTCACTTGCGCGAAACCCCACTCCTCTCTCCCTTACCTTAGTCGGCCGCTGTCGCGCGCTTTAGCCACTTAAGTAGCCGCTACTAGCTTCTCGTGGCGGCATTTGTGGCTGTGGCGTGCGGCCCGTGTGCGGCGACACTTAGGCAGAAGACCTTTACAAAGTCACTCAAAATAGATTGGCGAGATTTAAAATATGAGAATTGGTTCTAGTGGTTTTCTTGACCGATTACATCTCCCTGTTTTACGGAAACTACCTCCAGTCTTCGTAAAACCACTCGAGCCTCTCGAGGTCTCTTAAGACTCATATCATATTGTGTTGTGGTGGACTAGCTAAGGGTGCAAGTAAGGTAACTTCCACTGATGTTCTATTACTTCAGAGACGAATGTTAAATTAATGTGCGTAATGCTTCAGTGGAACGTGGTGCAAAACAACACACAGAAATTAATAAACTAACAGATGTTAAAGACTTAATATTAACTTATCAGTCTAAACAGTGAGAGTTATGAATAACTGGAAACTGTTAAAATTTTAAACACACAGAAAATCATATTTGTTGTAGTTAAATCTTGTGCGACGAATAGAGGAGTGCTTTATGCAATGGGTTATTTCACATCATTAATTAAAAAAAATAGTGAAACGTTAGGATGAATACAGCTAATCGACAATGTTGCAACAACGTGTTAACAAAAATATACACGATATATTTTCGCATCGTACAAATCTGAACCGTACAGACTAATTGCAACGCTGCAATAGCTTTTTTTAGCATTGATTTGTACGATGTAATTTCCGCAATGCGTCATGGTATCGTTTCTCGATAGGGCTACTGCAATTGTTAGGGATAATGCAATTATCCTGGTCAGGTTATATATACCGACGTGTGAGTATATATAACCTGGTCCTTGCTAGAACCAGAGGTGTTCAAACTTTGGTGTACCGCCCACTGGAGAATCGATTATTTTCTAGCGCCAATCTAAATTATTGTAGATAACCGCGTTTCAAAAATCACGAAATTGTGAAAAGTTCCTTAAAATTATTTATAAACAGTGCAGCATTAACATATTTATATTTAAAAATATTTATTGATATATTCAATAAATATTTTCAACCAATAAAAATATTCATTCATATTTTTATTTAAAAATATTTATTGATATATTCAATAAATATTTTCAACCAATAAAAATATTCATTCATGTTGATTTTAAACCAGAGCAATAATAAATTATTCGTTTAAATAAATGTAACAGACTGATAAAATAATCGTAATGAATAATTTCAAACACAGACCGAACTAATAAAAATATTGATAGCAAATCAACTTGTGAAAAATATTCAGATATTGTATTTGAATAAAAATATTGACTGGTATTTTCAACCATTAAAACTATCTGATATTAAATGTAAATTATAATAAATTTTATGTAAAATTAAAATTTTCAACCATTAACGCCACATCTATACCGTACTACTGCACGGAAGGGACCAAAGACATATCAACTACATATGGTAGATCCGCTCGCCGCTACACGCGCACACATAGACGGCTTTCAAACAATCTGACATTAGAGTCACGCACACATTGCTCTTAACATTAGCCTTTTTTTCGTGATTTATTTGAATCGCTCTATTTAGGCGTGTATATAATCAAAGGTTTATTGTTTAACCCTACCTACAAGTAGTGACACGTAAATCTAGCGCTGAACAAAGCACGTCAGGGATAGCTGCGCATGGGTACGACAGGAGAACCAATCAGCGCAACGCACGCCCACCCGCGCACCTCGTTTCCCCCCAACACATCTTAATTTTACTTCTACGCAATAACGTTCAGCGCTAGAGTTTCATGCCGCGACTTAAACATCCTTATAATGCGCAGTCCTCTTGACCATTTCTTCGTGTATGACTCATACCTGTTTGTATTGCGAATGCGCTGGCGGACGCGGCGGTCGCTCCGGTGGCGGTAGTTGAGCGGCGCGTGCCGGCAGCGGTAGAGCTACGGGCGATACTGTCCTGACGGATTCTTGCCGCTCCTGCTCCATTATCATCGTTTGCCTAGTACGAAATAATAACTGTCAAAACACGCTTAAAAGTCGTTTCAGTGAAAGACTCTCTGTTAAGACATATACTTTCACAACACACTATTCTTTCGAACGTTCAGGTGGCGGCAGTTGAGTGGCACGTGCCGGTAACGGCAGCACTACGGGCGATACCACAGAACACAGGAAGATGTTAGAAGGACCTTGAGGGTTGGACAGGCGCGCCACAGTTATGTGTGAGCTCATAACCTGACTAAAACTTGGTTCTGATTGCTTCGTTGCTCTCGGGAGTGAGCGCTCATTGGGTCCATTGTTTGATGTCGCGTCGTTTGATTGGCTATTAACTATTAGGTGAAAGTGTAATGGGGGCGAGCCTGCGACATCGGTTCCCGTTCAAACGGTCTATGAGCATCCTTCTAACCTCTTTCGGTGTTCTGTGGGCGATACTGTCCTCACAGATTCTTGCCGCTCCTGTTCCATTATCATCGTTTGCCTATAACTATATTTTAACTGTTAAAATACGCTTGTAAGGTTCGTTTTCTTAAAAACAAATCTTAAGTAATAAGAGACAACTCAACTATCTCGATCTTTTCTGTACTTTGGAAGGCACGTTAATCATGGCATGATCATGGCCCAAACTCCCTATTTCATTCATAAGGCCTGTGCTCCAGCATTGAGGACATTTGTTGGCTGATGATGATGAAGCACTGACGTCATGCTGCCCGCGTCGATCTCGGTGAGGTGTGATGCTGGAGGGGTGTGGGCGGGTGTGTGTTCAACTCGCACGCGCGTGGAAGGGCCTGTGTCCCAGCAGTTAGGTCATTAATAGATTGATGATAATAATGCACTGACCTCATGGTGCCCGCGTCGTGACGCTGGAGGGGATGTGGTCGGGCATCCTACTCGCACGCGTGAGGAAGGGCCTGTATCCCAGCAGTGAGGTAATTAATAAGCTGATGATGATGTTGCACTGACCTCATTGTGCCCGCGTCGTGACGTTGGAGGGGGTGTGGTCAGGCGTCCTACTCGTACGCATGAGGAAGGGCCTGTGTCCCAGCAGTAAGGTCATTATAGGTTGATGATAATGATGCACTGACCTCATGGTGCCCGCGTCCTGACGTTGGAGGGGGTGTGGTCAGGCGTCCTACTCGCACGCGCGAGGAAGGGCCTGTGTCCCAGCAGTGAGGTAATTAATAAGCTGATGATGATGATGCACTGACCTCATGGTGCCCGCATCGTGACGCTGGAGGGATTTGGGCGGGCGTCCTACTCGCACGCATGAGGAAGGGCCCGTGTCCCAGCAGTAAGGTCATTATAGGCTGATGATGATGATGCACTGACCTCATGGTGCCCGCGTCGTGACGTTGGAGGGGGCGTGGTCGGGCGTCCTACTCGCATGCTCAAGGAAGGGCCTGTGTCCCAGCAGTAAGGTCATTAATAGGTTGATGATAATGATGCACTAACCTCATGGTACCCGCGTCGTGACGCTGGAGGGGCTTCGGCCGGTTGTTCTACTCGCACGCGCGAGGAAGGGCCTGTGTCCCACCAGTGAGGTAAATATTAAGCTGATGCACTGACCTCATGGTGCCCGCCCCCGTCGTGACACTAGAGGGGGTGTGGTCGAGTGTCCTACTCGCACGCGTGAGGAAAGGCCTCTGTCCCAGCAGTGAGGTAATTAATAAGCTGATGATGATGTTGCACTGACCTCATGCTGCCTGCGTCGGTCTCGGTTAGTGTGACGCTGGAAGGCGGGGAGGGGGCCGCAGGCGGGCGCTGTACTCGCACGCGCACGTCGAAGGCCGGCGCCGCGCCCGCCACCATACGAGAATTGCGAGCCAGCGTCTCGTGCGCTTCGCCGTACCCTGTTCGAAAGGTTAGAAAGTTATTTAGAGAAAATTTTACTAGAAAGAGTCCACACGGTCCAGGGAGCAACGGCACTGGAACCCTCAGTCTCCTTATTATGGTCGTGTTGAATTTCTTCTAGTGTGTGTGAAGAAATTGTCTAAGATTAATAAGTGTTCAAAATCACTGAACAAAACAACTCGGTACTGCTTCATTTCTTTCTCGGTTCAGAGCTAAAGCAGGTGTCGATGTAGAATTCATTAATTTCTTTGTAAATCAGGAAATAAAAAGGATCAAGAATCCGCCTGGTTTTCGCGGCGGCATGAGCGTGTTCTGCCTCGATGGGTGTCTCGCACCGGTAGTCGAATAGAATGGTGTCGTGTGACATCACGTCGCACACGGGTAGTCGGCCAGGATGGTGTCCTATGACGTCATTACGTCACGTCGTAAGTGAGAAAAGGATGGTTTCATGCTGGTTACCTTCGCTGTGGTACTCGTCGACCACGAACGCTTGGTTGGCGTGGGCGTGTTCTGCCTCGCTAGGCGTCTCGGACGGGTAGTCGGACGGGATGGTGTCGGACGCGACGCTGGCGCTCTCGGCTGCAGCCGGGTATACCGGATGAGCGCGTGGGATCTTCACCTCTGTGCAATAAAAAATAATATTGAAATACAGCCAATCAAAGCTTGCCAACCTACTGAAAAGAAATATCAGTAGGTAGAATCAAACCTGATAGCTACTGCAAGCCGAGTGTAACACAAGGTGACATATTTTGAGAGACTTTTGCAATAGACACTGATATTTTAAATTTATGATAAGCACCGGCCTGTAGTAGAGTGAGAAAAGCGGTCGCATAGGTGCGCAGTAACAAGGGACACAATTAAAAAGTAAATGCTCAAGTACAACAATTTTCTATCGAAAATGCCGCGTCGGTATCGTTCTACTCTTATAAAGACCGCTGCTGTTTATGAAGTTTTTTTATTGAACGAATGCCGTAGAAAAGTAGAAATCAACAAAAGACTTTGTATACTCTCCATGCTGATGATGGAGGCTAAGGAGTCATCGATAAGTCTCCTTGGTACAGGCATGGCTCGCCGGTATCGCCTGTACGATACTCCCAATCCGGGGAGCAGTAGCGTAAGGAAGTGTATCGCGCAGATTATCATCAGGATATGGGTGCAGCCAGTGGCGCATGCACCAAGAATGGACCTCTTCGCGGACCACTTCAATAACTTACAGGGAGCATCAGTAATCCGCAGACCACCGGTTAAGTACCAGAAAGAAGAAATCGACACTGACCTTGTATAATCTCCCTGCTGATGATAGACGCTGAGGAGTCATCGATGAGTCTCCTCGGTACGGGAACAGCTCGTCTGCGCAGACACAAGTACGATACTCCCAATCCGAGGAGCAGTAGCGTGAGGAAAAGGATCGCGCTGATTATCATCAGCATGTGGGTGCAGCCAGTGACGCATGCACCAAGAATGGACCTCTTCGCGGACCACTTCGGAAGCTTACAGGGAGCACCAGTAATCCGCGGACCACCGGTTAAGTACCAGAAAGAAGAAATCAACACTGACCTTGTATGCTCTCCCTGCTGATGATAGACGCTGAGGAGTCATCGATGAGTCTCCTCGGTACGGGGAGAGCTCGTCTGCGCAGACACAAGTACGATACTCCCAATCCGGGAGCAGTAGGGTGAGGAAGAGGATCGCGCAGATTATGATTAGGATATGGGTGCAGCCAGTGACGCATGCACCAAGAATGGACCTCTTTGTGGACCACTTCGGAAGCTTACAGGGACCACCAGTAATCCGCGGACCACCGGTTACCTACCAGAAAGAAGAAATCAACACTGACCTTGTATACTCTCCCTGCTGATGATAGACGCTGAGGAGTCATCGATGAGTCTCCTCGGTACGGGGACAGCTCGTCGGCGCAAACACAAGTACGATACTCCCAATCCGAAGAGCAGTAGCGTGAGGAAGAGGATCGCGCAGATTATGATCAGGATATGGGTACAGCCAGTGACGCATGCACCAAGAATGGACCTCTTCGCGGACCACTTCGGAAGCTTACAGGGAGCACCAGTAATCTGCGGACCACCGGTTAAGTACCAGAAAGAAGAAATCAACACTGACCTTGTATACTCTCCCTGCTGATGATAGACGCTGAGGAGTCATCGATGAGTCTCCTCAGTACGGGGACAGCTCGTCGGCGCAGACACAAGTACGATACTCCCAATCCGGGAGCAGTAGCGTGAGGAAGAGGATCGCGCAGATTATGATTAGGATATGGGTACAGCCAGTGACGCATGCACCAAGAATGGACCTCTTCGCGGACCTTTTCGCGGACCACTTCGGGAGCTTACAGGGAGCACCAGTAATCCGCGGACCACCGGTTAACTACCAGAAAGAAGGTATCAACTCTAACCTTGTATACTCTCCCTGCTGATGATAGACGCTGAGGAGTCATCGATGAGTCTCCTCGGTACGGGGACAGCTCGTCTGCGCAGACACAAGTACGATACTCCCAATCCGAGAAGCAGTAGCGTGAGGAAGAGGATCGCGCAGATTATCATCAGTATGTGGGTACCGGCCAGTGGTGCGTGAACCGACAATGGACCTTCTGGGACTCTGTTAAAAATATAAATATAAAATATAGTACAATATTAACTGCAAAAGACACTTCATTATCAGCCTATTAATTTCCTCACTGCTGGTACACAGACCTTCCCTATGGATGCAATAAGGAGATTAGATCCTGACCCACTACGCAAGCGAATTGGTGGGTGTTAACGACTACAGATGCGGCTGGGATAATCGGCTTAACGTGCCTTCTGAAGCACGGAGGAGCTCGATATAATAAGTTTTTGGTCACCCACCCAATGACCGACCATTGCGAAAGTTACTTAACTTTCACGATCGCAGGCCGGATGTGCTAAACACCTGCGCCATCAAGCTCCTCATAGCATAGAAGGTTAAGTGCAACAGACACTTGTGAAAGACACGATGTAAGTGAAACTTTAAAAGTGTTATATCCAGTTAGTTGATGATGATGATATTAATAGTGAAAGGCAAAAAACGTCCTTCCTCGGCTGGGAATAGAACCAAGCCATCCGCGTGGGCGGGGAGCTTTCTACCACTGAACCATTGAGAGCTCGTTGACAATTCGAATTTTATCATACAGGTAGATCTGATCTGATTTACTGCATTGAAAACAATGGTCTTTCAAAGATTTTTGATCCACATTAATACAGTTCCCTTGTTATAAGGTCCTAAATGCAACTACATATTCTCTACGAAAACTTGTCTGTTTTTTTACATTATAAAGCGAATCATCGGGCAAGTGGTTCAGAAATCAATTTGTTCTCATGTACATACCAAGTAACCCCTCGACCTCACCTCACACACACCGCGAGACGTTGAGCTATCTCGTGACTCGTGACATGATGTCACACTTTTTTGTGCATGCAGCCGGTGCTCATCGATTTATAAGACGTTATCACGTCCATCATCATCAGCCTATTAATGTCCCCACTGCTGGGGCACCGGAACCCTATGAATGGAATAGGGAGTATGGGCCATGACCTACCACGTGGGCCCAGGACGGATTGGTGGGTCTATGTATGTTTGACTTTCCTACCATTTTATTATATAACTAGTGGCTCGCCCTCGCTTCGCTTCGGGGTAGACTTGATCAAAATCCTTTCTTAGCGGATGCCTACGTCATAACATCTGCCTGCACGCCAAATTTCAGCCCGATCCGTCCAGTGGTTTGGGCTGTGCGTTGATAGATCACTATGTCAGTCACCTTTGAGTTTTATATATATAGATAATAATAAATGTATTTATTTGCCCCAACATTATTACATAGTTAAATCAGAACAATAGTTTTCTTAATGCCTAATAACAGCGTATCACGTCTAGAAGTAACCAATTCCAGTTTTACTCACGGTGCTATGTAAGGCCCGAGTATTGGCGGCGCCTGCACCACCGGCGGCGGGTACCGGCACACAATAGTAATCACCTCATCACCCTCCATCTCGAGGTTGGGATGGAACCGGACCACGATGTTGTTGGTGAACACGCGGAGCGGCTCCTGGCAAAACATTAAATATTAGACAAACTTCATATAAACTCGAAGAAGCGAGCCTCAAACGCGACCGGCAACGACTTTTGGATTAACGTTAGCGTGATTGATCAATCTACGTAGACGCTTTAGGAAAGACAGATCGTGTGACCAGCAGTACTATAGGTAAACTGCTTAACTGAGACCTCGCCCGCGGGGTACCTCTCACGGTCCCCGTTTTCGTCCCTTCCCCCACACCCTTTACCCTGCAGGCATGGACTCAGTTAAGCGGTCTACTTTTATTTATAACTAGCTGTGCCCCGCGGCGTTACCCGCGGTTTATTAGAGATATTTTCCCTCAATAAAACGTAGCCTCCAGGGTGTTAGCTAATTCCATACCGAATTTTATTAAAATGGCTCCAGCTGTTTAGACGTGAAGAAGTAACAAACATACACACTTACACACTCACAAACTTTCGCCTTTATAATATTAGTGTGATGTCAGCACAAACTCACTTTCACCTCGGAATCCGCGGCGGGATTTAAAATTAGAACAGGAATTTCAATTAAATTTCAATTAAATTTCAAAGTACACCAGCGAAATCCGCGGTGAAAAGTGAATTCGTTACAGAATAGCACTGTAGGCCCTTTTATTCACGTGCATATAGTCGAGAACCCCAAGCAGGGATTTTTAGTTTTACTAATAATAAACGGCCATAACTTTTGGACGCAACCAACAAAAATTGCCGTTATTTTGTTGCCTAAGGAGTTCGACATTACATGGGTCAAGTATGGTGAAAAAACTTCACAAAGTGCAAGGAGCTTATGTTATACAGCCACGCTCGAGTAAATCCAAAAATCCCCGCTTAGGCTCCCCTACTAATAGTATTCACACATGCGCGTCAGTCAGTGCTTCTTAGCATGGTCTTCAAACTCCTTAGACGAACTCCCCTAGGATGTGTTTTTGGAGTAGCTCAATTAATCACTACTACATATAAAAGTGATTGTTTTATCGTATACGTAGGTACTAAAGGATTATTTTATTTTACTATAACGCAAAATGATACATCACGTATTAACGACCAATAATAACGCGTCTATGGAGAAGAGCTTTTAAAGCGTCCACTGGCGCCCAGCGTGTTAGTCAAACACGTGAGTTTGAAAATGTAAAATTTTAATGTATTTTTAGGACACTTGATGTAAATGAAAAGAATTCAGAATCATATAACCCCACATGATACCACATTACCACATTACCAGTTCTGTACCTTTAGCATGAATCAATATCGAATTCGTTAATGTCAGCAGCACCACAAAGTACGTAACGAGAACTAAAAATCAGTACACATTTGACAATGACATTACGCACTCGTAAACTATTCGAATTCGATATTGGTTCGTGCTAAGGGTAGTACCTCTAGCACGAAACATTATCAAATCGAATAGTTTGCAAGTGCAAAATGTCAATGTCAAATTATGTATGGAAACATGAACAGCAGCGCCACAAGGTCGTAACGAGAACTAGAAATCAGTACACATTTTACAATGACATTTCCGATTCGCAAACGTTACGAATTCGATATTTGTTGGTGATATAGGTACAGTTCTATTTTTTTTTTGTAACTAACCTGCCTCGTTCCGCAACCTTTCAAGGGCAGCTCCATCCTGTAGGAGAGCTGGCCCTTGCCCCGAACCTGGCATGCCGAGTGCCGGTCGAAGTCCGCATATACTATACCGTAAAACTTCTCATGGAACTTCAGCTCAATCTGGAAAAATAGATTATTCTTGTTGTAAGAAAGTTAAATAACTATTGTTAAAGAAAATTTTACTAGAAAAAAAATCAGGTTTTTTAAATTTCAGAATACATAATCAATATGCGTACTCAATATTACAATAAAAACTGCTATCCGAATTGTATAATAGATTTAATAAATTACCACGCTTGATAACGGAGCTTAGTTTGCCTTTATTTAAAAGGAAGCTTAAGATGTGGCTAATAACGAAATGTTTTTACTCAGTTACAGAATATTTACATTACAGGAAGTCCAACGATTAATACTTCGTTAAAGAAAAATCGGTTAATTTTTATTTGTATTTTATTTAAGTGACTTTTTTTTTTTTGTTTGATAATTGTTGAAATTCAATTTATATATTTTTCTTTCTTTAGTGTAAACTTCAGCCCATAAAAGTTTGGTCATGTTATGCCCACATATTTAGAGTTACAGTTTGGTTTTGTATTATTGTAATTGCTTTGGTTTTTTTTTTATAATTGTAACTTGTTTTGTGAGCTAATAAATAAATAAAAAAAAATTAGAAACGAAAATTTACTTAGAATAGAATAAATAAAATTACATAAGTACCTATAAATTTTAGAATTAAATTAAGTTTGACATTCACATGCCCTGTCGTTGGCAAAATGGACGAACTAAATGAAAATCACCACCAAAATGTATCTACTCTGTTTTGTGGGAATAAATCAAATTTTATTTCATTTCATATTTTATCTTAAATAATGTAAGACCTTAATAAAAAATAAAATAAAAAAACAAAATTCAGTATCGTTTATTCAGTCTAGGCTGTTACAAGTACTTGTTAATGTCGAAAAGCTACGCCATCGGACCTTATCTTACAAATCTAGACCTTATACTGAGAAGAACCGGCAAGAAACTCAGCAAGGCTGATTTTTTCTTCCTGTATTTTAAACAAAGTCGACAAATTGAAAAATTACTTCAATATAAGATAACTCATTTTCCATTACAAATGTAAATTATATAAAAAATATGACTATAAAATAAAAATACATAAAAAACTGATTTAACAAAGTTTAGGAATGCCGTGTCCTTCTGTTTAGGCATAAAAAATGTACGATTAAAGTTAAATAACACGATTAATAGTACCCATTGGGTAGAAGGAAGAGCAGACTCATCTCCGCTGGCAGCACCCGTTCACGAGCATGACGCATGAACCAGCCATCGATTCGCTCAACCATTTTTTAGGGAACGTAACAACCCGCCTCACACGCCAAAGAGATTTATAATTTACTAGCTGACCCGGCGAACTTCGTGCCACCTAAGGGTACGGCCAGAGTGCACTCACATTCAGATTCAGATTCAGACTCAGAAAACAAGCGCGAGAAATAAACAGTGTAGTTAAAGCAGGGTGGCCATAGTGGCAGCAGGCAACCTGCTTAGACTACACTGTTTATTTCTCGCGCTTTGTTTTCTGAGTCTGAATCTGAATCTGAGTGCACTCTGGCCGTACCCTAACAGTTGATCAAATGTGGTTATTATCGAGTGTACCCGAATTTATCTAACCTACGTCGTCGTCGTACGAACGTCAAATATTTGACAGGAAAGTAGGCAGAACAGGGGGCCAAACACCTAACGGAAATGCTTTGGAAAACGCTAACGCTTACGATTTCATTTTATTATTTCTAGCCGCCTGAGGTTTTCAAATGCCTCGCGCTCTTTTTTTTCCTTTTGCATTGGCAATAACAATATTAAAAAAAAGACAAAGTTAGAATAAGAGCTAAAATGGTTGCCTGTAAAGTCGGTTTTACGGGCGAAGATTTTACGTGACAACGTCTTTTTCTCGGTAGAATATTTATTGATATGAATATAATTAAATTGCACAATAGGAACAAGGAATTGAATGAAAATAAGAATTGCACAAATTTTAACTATAGAAATATATTTTGTTTACTAAAACATTGTACATGTAAACTTAAACTCATCGTAACGTTACCGAGCGTTACACTTTTTCATAAGTGACTCCCAGCCGCAACCTAATTTAAGACGTTGTCACGTCAAAAATGAGCGTGAGGTATTTGAAAACCTTCGGCAGTCAGAAATAACAAAATAAAATCGAAAGCGTTTGCGTTTTCCAAAGCATTTTCGTTAGGCGAATGGCCCCCAGTTTATATGGGAAAATGAAGTTGTTGTGTATCACCCTCGCAATTTTTAAATTTTTTCTTACCGTTTAAACCTTCCCTAGACTTCCACGAACATTTCAATACCAAGATAAGATAAATCCGTTCAGCCGTTTTCGAGTTTTAGCGAGACTAACGAACAGCATTTTTTTTATATATATATAGATAGATAGATAATAACCAATTTATAATAATAAAACGTAATATACCTGCATTGAGCCAGCTGTGCAGTTCAACTCAGCTTTGGTTCTGTTCAAAAGAATGTACGGACTCAGGTCGTCTAACTTCGTAACCTGAAACAAACAATTTGGTTAAAAATAAATAAACAAAAGCAGAAATAATCTTTAAACTAGCTAACGAAAACCAAAAATTTAAGGCGTTCTCTTTCTCTAAAAAAAACTGAAAAGTTATGCGAGACCAGTGCCGTCTTTGACCTATTGAAGGCCCTGGGCATGTTAGGATAATGGGGCCCCTATGACCTCCGTTTGGTGATCTAACAGGAACTAGGGACTTTGTATTTGATCTCAAGTGAGCCCCTATCGATTGCCCAAAGTGCCCACTGGGAAAAACGGGTCTGTACGAGACCAAGACAAGATAAGCGCGTACAATAATTCGTAGTTCCATTTATAATTATGCAACAGGAATTCAAAGTTAACAAATAAAAAGATATTTTTTGATTTCATCATCACATCACATCACCAGCCTATTAATGTCCCCACTGCTGGGGCACAGGCCTTCCTTATGGATGGAATAAGGAGATAAGGCCATGATCCACCACTCGGGCCCAGTGCGGATTGGTAGGTGCTAACGACTGCAAATGCAGCAGGGAACAACGGCTTAACGTGCCTTCCGAAACACGGAGTAGCTCGAGATAGTAATCATTTGGTCACCCATCCAATGACCGACCACTGCGAAAGTTGCTTAACTTCAACTATCGCAGCCGAACGCGCTAACCACTTGCGCCATCGAGGTCCTCAATAAAAAGATATTATATTAGAATTCTATCATCACATCACATCACCAGCCTTTTAATGTCCCCACTGCTGGGGCACAGGCCTTCTTTATGGATGGAATAAGGAGATAAGACCATGATCCACCACGCGGGCCCAGTGCGTATTGGTGGGTGCTAACGACTGCAGATGCAGCAGGGACCAATGGCTTAACGTGCCTTCTGAAGCACGGAGGAGCTCGAGATAGTAATTTTTTGGTCACCCATCCAATGACCGACCACTGCGTTAGTTGCTTAACTTCAACGATCGCAGCCGAACACGCTAACCACTCGCGCCGTCGAACTCCACAATTTCATAACGAGCAATAAATCAAACCGTATTCGTCCTTTTGCAAACTTTAATGGCATTTCATTATTTCGCATAGGAGAATATTTTTCTTTAAATCTTCGAAGCGACATGCAATCTCTGAGAGAGAGACTATTTTAGATAAACTTCTAATAAAAACGATAGTTCATTATTCCGGTGAATGCACCAATGTGTAAGGGGTTGCCACTGTTAACTTACTTTTATTTCCGAAGTGAAACTTCTTTACGCACGCATGACTTGGGGATTAAGCTGGCGAATGCGTTACGCGTTACGAAAAGTGTGTTCGGGCGAGGGGAACGGGAGTTGAGTGGGAGATATAAGCGCATCAACGCCTTTTTTAGGCAAAGGAATAAAAAACAGCCAGTGTTACTAATAAAGTAAATTAATATGTTTGTGAATTTGTTACCAATACATGGTTGTAATTTATTGTCAAAATGAATTAAATTAAACAATTAAATGTTTATATATTATATTTTATCTCCCAAAGTTAATTTTATTAAAAAAATGTTGGCTACCTTTCTGACATAAAAACTCTTTGCTAAGATTTAAAAAAGTATCGTTCGTTTTTAGACGGAACATAATAAGCCGTGTGTTTTACTTTACATTACCGCACGCGTGTGTAATGTGATAGATTATGATATAATAATAATAATAATAATAATATACCATTTATTTTCTCCTCACAAAAGGTGTAACAGTACAATAAGTAACTAACTTAATCAATACATTACACATAAACCTATTATGTGGGAGATATGTATTGAAATTGGTGCAATAAGAGACGCTTTACAAGCAAATGTGATATTTTAAGCAGAAGGCTACATTATTCCTGAGTGACATAAAACAAGTTATATTGATTTTGCGTAAAAATACATTTTATATTTCCAAATCCAAGGCGAATAACTACTAATAGTATATTTACTACAAACCCGGGAACATAAAATAGTGACGTCACAATGAAATAATCGGACGTAGCAATACAATGGAACTCATATTTTTTTTATGTATCCTTATAATATTTTGTTGAAAGTTCTTTCCGATGAAAAATAAGAAAAAGGCGCGAAAATAAAATTAATGGTGTCTAAAGCTAAACTTAAATTTGACAACAGTGTATATCTATATCCTTGTCATTCTCTATGCAGAATGAAAAGGAGAGAATGATGTTAAATTTAGTTTAAGGTTTAGAAAATCATGCCAGAATCGACACCAATATTTATTAATTCCTTCCTTAAATTGGTGACAACCCTGCGTTTACGCCGTGCGTCGCCATAAATCCATACTGCTAATTATTAGCTCGCGGCTGTTGCTATCTATATGAAAAGTTTCCATGGTGTATCGTTAAATGGAACGGAACGCAAAATTTTATATTCAAATCTATGTTCTTTTCATAAATTTTGATTTATGATGTATTATAATTTTGCCGTCATGCGTCATCTTTTATGTTCTTATTACACACATCAAAAGTGTCTAGGGATCAAGCATTTTTATGCGGATTTCTTGAGATTGAGATGTGGCTTTGTAATAAATTTATGATTTTATAAATTTATATGGATCCTTTTTGGTGCATTTCATAATTTGAATCAGGAACTGTGAATCAAATTCGAGTAAAAGATGAAAATCAGCTGTCAATATTTTCCCTATAAAAACATACAACGCATTGAAGACATTATTAGTGCTACTGTTTCCCTACTACTGATTAAAACCAACGTTATTATGGAGCGGCGACGTCATTTAAGCAGGGAAGAAATGCTCAGAGCCGTGGGAATGATAGAAGCTGGTTCCCGGAAACGTACTGTGGCTTTAGCTCTGAATACAAGTCAGAGTGTTATCAGTCGACTTTGGACACGATACCGAAGCACTGGTACCGTGGCTGAGCGCCATGGAGGACGGTATCGCTGCACCACACGGAGACAAGACCGATACATTCAAATCTTAACTCGAAGAGCTCCAACAATAACCGCCATGATGTTAGCCGTGAGGCTTCATCACTCTTCAGGGAACTTAATTAGCGACCAAACAGTCAGAAACCGCTTGCATGAAGTGAACCTTCATTCCCGAAGACCGCTACGGGTACCACCTATAGCAATGCACAATCGTAGGATTCGATATCAATGGGCTCTTGAACACAGAAATTGGGCAGAAGAACAATGGCGTTTCGTGTGCTTTTCTGATGAGTCTCGTTTTGGTATGAGACCGGATACAAGACGTATACGACACTGGAGAACCCCTGGACGCCAACAGCGATTAAAATCCTGCCAGGAAGTCCATCCTTATAGTGGTGGAACCATCATGGTATGGGCGGGTATTTGGATCGGCGGAAGAACTGAGTTGATTTGGATCAGAGGCAACCTCAACGCTCAAATTTATGCTGAGACGATTGTATCAGACGTCATCGTTCCTCTACAAATGCAAATCGGTCCCTTATTTCAGTTAATGCATGATAATGCACGACCGCACACCGCAAGAGTTATAAGACAGACTCTCGCCGCAGCTAACATCAATGTCCTGCCCTGGCCTGCTCAGTCGCCAGACTTGAACCCGATTGAGCATGCATGGGATATGCTACAGAGAAGAGCTCTGCCGAATATGGAGGGTATCCAGTCGCAAAAAGACCTTTTTTTGTTGTTGCAACGAACATGGGCGGCCATTCCACAGCGTGATTTGGATGAACTCATTTTGAGTATGTTCTTGTGTTGTTAGTGTTCGCGGTAGAAATACGGATTATTAATTGTTTAAGTTACCCAATAAAATTTTAGAGAAAACTGTTATTTCAGTCTTTTTTTCGAACTTTTGTGTTAGTGGTTCAAATGTCAAAAATCCCTTTATTAGGAAAATGGCAAATTTCTTTATTAATGCAAAGGTGACTTGGTTTATCGTTACTGTGACAAACGAAAACACTTTATTTGATGAATCCTTAAAGAAAATTTTAATTAATCAAATCAATCAGGAGAAAAGTTATTGCAAAAATATATGTTGATCCCTAGACACTTTTGATGTGTGTATGTAACGTTAACAAAACGCATTTAGAACCCGTATAAGGCTCGTATTACAGAATGACAACTAAATGTTGATCTTTACTTGAGTACAGTTAGAAAGGGATGTTGCTATGTGCTATATATAGCAACATCCCTTTCGAAACTTTCTATAATACGGGCCTAAGTGTGTTTAATTTACTGAGTGGTGTGCGTGAAATTACTGATTGGTTTGAAGCTTGGACTAACGAGCTATAGATCGAACTAGTTATTTGAAGAGCAGTGAACTTGTAAATTGTCGCGAATTACGTTTTGCAGTCTGATGAACAGACAAAGCATGAAGAATGAGATGACTCTTTGTCCATGGTTTGTCTGTTCATTTTATCTTTCATTTAATAAGTGATTTTTTAAGGTGAATAGAATCCTACCTCAGAGACCGTAGTCAGGCAGTTACTGTAAAGGGGCACTGTTCAACTTTTGTCCCGGTCACATCAGGTGTGCCACAGGGAACCCATCTTGGTCCTCTCTTTTTTAATTTGTTTATTAATGGTGTAGTTTCAGTTCTGAAATATTCTAATATTTTATTTATTTATTTATTTAAACTTTATTGCCACAATTACAAAAATGGACAAAAGGCGGACTTAACGCTAAAAGCATTCTCTGCCAGTCAACCTTTAGGCGTAGAGAAATTCACGAATGCTATATTAAAAAAAAGTGATTAACTATAAACATACACCAATAAAAGTAACTACATAAATATTTATTTAAAAAAAAACCCTAAATATACATGCATAGAATACAATTAAATATATATAGAATATTTATAATATATATATATATATACACATACATACATACATAATCATTATTAACATAGTTTATAAAATATATTGATGACGAGACTGTGAAGGGAACTTGTGAGTAAAGTTTAACGTTATTAACTTTCTAGGAGAAGTTCATGAACTTTCTTCTTAAAAATTAACCTATTAATAATAACCTTCTACCAGAGTCAGGGAGGCTGTTCCAGAGTCGTGAAGATTGAAGGGCAAAGGAATCAGACATATAGCCAGAGTGAAAGAGAGGAAGAGATAGTGCAAGAGTATCAGTAGAACGAAGTTGAAGGTCATGTGAGTCATAAAGATATTGAAATTTGGATCGTAAGTATTCTGGAGAGTGAGGGTTGAACAGGATAGAATATAGAGTACAGAGCATTCTCTGCAGCTTTCTCTGACGTATGGGAAGCCATCTAAGTTGAGATCTGAACGCAGATACGTGGTCAAATTTACGTAGGCAGAAGATGAAACGAATGGCATTGTTGATGAGACGATCCAATTTGTTCAGAAGAGCATTCAGATCGGGATAGCAGACATCAGCATAATCAATGAACGGGAATATGAGAGATGTAACAAGCAAAATTTTTGTGTTGATGGGGAGAAATATTCTAAATCTATTTAAAAACGAAGTGAGTAAATAACTTTGCGACTTACTTCGGCAATTTGTGTGTTCCAGCTAAGAGTAGAATCAATGTAAAGGCCAAGATTTTTGACACTTGTGCTAAACGGAACAATCGTGCCCTCATACACGACAGACTGGAGAGACCTATGATCGATTTTGGCAATTTGTTTAGAGCCACCTATGATAATAGCCTGATATTTTGATAAATTCACCTTTATTCCAAAATCGGCGGACCAAGCACTAACACGTTGCAAGTCATGGTTAAACATTTCGATGGCCATATTAACGTCCTCAGCCGACGTCTGAGTATAGATTTGTAGGTCATCAGCATAGAAATGGTAATAGCAGCCAAGCGAGAAGGAAAGGAGGTTAATAAAAACAGAAAAAAGCAAAGGAGAAATTATCCCACCCTGAGGTACACCAGCATTTAAATCGTTCCAATTTGATAGATCTTGCTTAATGCGAACCGGTTGTTGACGGCCACGAAGGTAAGATATCTTAATTTATGCTGATGATATGAAGATCTTTAGAAAAATCACATCTCCCCAGGATACTGCTTTGCTCCAGAGTGATCTTGACAGTCTTTGCAATTACTGTCATAAGAATTGCCTCCATCTTAATCCGAATAAATGTAGTGTTATCACGTTTACTCGTAAAATTAAAGGATTAAAATAAAACTACAATCTCTCTAAGAAAGTTGAAATCTCCACTTAGAAATGACTTAGAAGCTGGGTGGAATAATTTTCTAAGATTTTTGAAAACAATTGACTATCGTAAAGAAAGTTTTGTGTATCGGATATTTTACCGGACAATAATAATGGAACTAATCTATCAGATCGCTGTACCCTTAACTTTAGTGCACAAACGTCAAAACGTTCAGCTCACTGGTTATTGTATGTACTTCCATTGTAATTCTTGCGCGAGCGCTTTAATGGCATTGCGTTTACTATCACCATACCCCGACTGACTTGGGTAAAGCTACGCATTTGATAAAAAATCTGACAAATGACTCCATCACAGCCTCACATCACTAACGAGATATGAGAAGAAATTCAGCGTCCATTATGGTATCGGTGCAATATAGCGGTTAGCTTTTATTTCTCAGTACCATAGAGCAACAAAACTGACGCGGCCAGGAGGGGAGTAGCCTTAGTGACATAATACTACTGAAATCATTCTGTCACTTTTTGCAGGGGGAGGAATATGCACACAAATGCAGTCAAACATACTTTCGCAAAAAACCAAATTATAATGACGACACTCACATATAAAAAAATACAATACTAAATCGTTTATAGATTAATCTTAAAATTTATCTATAAGTTCTTTTTGTTTGCATGATTTAACATAAGAAGGAGATAGAAAGCCTCTCTGAGTTTGTTTCGCCAATGATATTTGACATTTGTGAACTAGACAGGTGCAGAATACAAACAGACAAGATCTCTAAGTACTCTGTGCAGTCAAGCAATGGATCTCGATTTGCAGGAGCATAAACATGTGTGGTTTCAACAAGGCGGTGTAAGTTTTGGCGATTTGGCATGGCCAGTGAGATCACCCCATTTAACCACCCCAGACTTCTTTCTTTAGAGCTACTTGGCGTCTCGGTTTAATGACAACAAGCCTCAGACAATCGCAGCCTGACTCTTTAAGACATTCGAAAGAAATCATGGAAAATGCGATAAAACGGGAACCAATGTGTATTAACACTGGCGACGCACATTGACGGATATCATCTTTTCCACTTAACAGAAAAAGAATCAAAGATTCTTATAAAGTTTTTCATCACTCAAAATCGTTATTTTATGTATTGAAAAAGTTATACAAAACCAAAATTTATTACTTTTAATCCACCTTGTAATCAGCTTTATACTTTCTTTTTGAGCACAGGTTTTCTCTATGGATAGGCAGATTGGGCCATAACCCACCACGCGGGCAAGGTGCAGTGGGTGTTACCAACTGCAGATGTAGCCGTGATCAAAGGCTAAACTTGCCTTCCATAACAAGTACAACATGATGTTCAATCAGAGAGTACGAGAAAAAATTTACTTCGCTAAAAGGTCAGAAGGCGGGTGATTTTCGCTGGTATGATGCATTAGACGTTTTTGTATGTAAAAGCTACTGCCCATTGAAGGAGTATTGTCTGGTTTTTACTGGCCCTGTTCAGAACGTAAGATAGGGCTCTGATAATTTCATGGGTCCCAGGTACCTTCTTCTCGCTCCTCTGGTGGTTGAAGGAAGCATAAGGCATTTCACAAACATTAAAACAGGCTTCCTCCGCTTCTTCTTCCGTCTAAGGTCGTCGTTCAAGAAGTTTGCCGGGGTGTATACTTATAACCGCACATGATTTACATTCTCTTTGGTAACGCACACGTCAACAGCTTATAGCTAGGCTGCTTACCATAAGACATTCGTCATACTTCGTTGTTTATCACTGCTTTTATATAAATAAATAGGTTTACTTATACGATACTGACCTTCCCATCCAACACTGTCTGCTCCGGCAGCCCTTCTCCCTGGTACTCGATGTTGTTCGCCTGCGAGTCATAGTTTGACTGAGCCAGCGAGCTCGCCAAGAGTCCCGTCACCACGCACCAAAACAGCGCCATCTCTGTTCTGGAAACAAAAACTTCTTGTTAACATAAGAGATAAGGTAGGTACAGATCCAGCCAAACCTCTATGCCTTTATTATTACATCGCTGTCAACTCTGAGAGCGATCTTGAGTACGAACTTGAGATGCTGTTTTGTATAAAACAGTATCTCAGAATCGAGTCTCAGTGCTGAGAGCGATCTATTAATAAGGGCCTGAGTCCACTCTGAAGTTGCGTCGCACAGATCGTATTCTCAACCTTTGTCCCTCTATATGTATACCTGTCTTTTGTTACTGCGACGCGAATTGTGCAATGTTCAGAGTGGACTTGAAGATTTGCGCGATGTCTACGGAAGTTGGACTTCGCCACCAATCTTCACCACGCACCAACAAAACAGTGCCATCTCTGTTTTGGGAACATTATCTTCTTGTTACGAGAGGTACGGCGAAGCGAAGAGCGCGCTAGTAAAAATATCCCTCATTTTACAAAAACTTCAGCCAATCAGTTATTCTTTACTACAGTTTTGTGCTAGGCACAGTTGTTAGCACTGGCCGGTGCGTGGATAGTCCCTATGGGTTACCATCAAGTTACCATGTTAGCCTGTACTCCTAACATACATTCGCGAGACCTCGGTCCTCTGAGTGCATGAGAGTAACCTACCGGCTTATTCTCTAACTTTTTTGACATTGACAGTGTAAATAAAGATAACATTGAATAATGATGCTCTTCAGAACAAGTAACTTAGTGGCATTATAATAAACGCCACAGATGAACGGGCGTGCGCTTCATTTAAAATGGAAAACTAGGGTTGCGCCGATCCGATCCGATCCTTTGAAAGATCGGATCGGAAGGCATACAATCCGGTGATTTTCGGATCGGATCGAGGCCATACGATTTTTTGCCGGATCGTTACAAAACTTGAAAGATCGGATCGCTTGGATCGTATGAATTAAAACGCGGTTTGTTTACAATAATTGGGTAGGTACTTACTTAGGTTTCTGTTACGAACTTTATCTTTGTTTACATTTAACTTGGCGGCATTCTTTGCAGGTGGATCCGTTAATCTTATACATTCTATTATTATAAACAAAAGTTGTACCTGATTAGGTGTGACGATTATTGATAGGTTTACCAAATAAAAATCTAAAATAATTTGTCTTATTTATTGTATCCAATCCGATCCGATTTCTTGAAGATTGGATCGACGGCATGCGATCCTATCCGCGGATCGGATCGTAGCAATACGATCCATTACGAACCGAAAAATCGGATCGACGACCCGGATCGCACATCCCTATGGAAAACCGCTATGCCCAACTTCCCTTAATCAACTTCATGATTTAATGGATTATAAAGGTTTATACCGCTTAAAACTGGCACACCTCATCTCCTTTTGTAAATACATACTCACATGATTACTTGGCATATCTTTTATAATGGAAAGATGATTTTTATGGGTTATTCGCAAGCGCAGCAGATTAAGTCATAAAATGTTCAATGTTCATACGCGTCGCGTTGCGGGGCGTATTTATTTCATATAAATATACGACCTGGGGGTTACCGATCACAATTAACGAGTAAAAACAGTAATTCGAAGATTGACTCCTATCTTGACTCTTATCATGACTCCTCGAATGAATCCCGTTATTCCGATACCGAATATTATGTGGTGGTGTGTAATGATATGCAATTGACAATAATGAAGATAATTTTATTCATCTTTCACATCTAGTGATGCTGTGATGAGCTAAAATCTTGATAAGGTTTTTCACAGTTTCTGATATAGTATGTAGTAGCTTCGCTTTGCTGGTTATAAGTAATTACACAGCAGCCTAATATTTTTCGGAAAGAGAATAGGATTTAGATTGGAGGGCGCTGTAGTGCTTTTCTACCGTATTTGTAAGGTTTTACCCCTTTTAGACATGATTAAATACAAAAAAACCCCGCAAGAAATCACAACAACTAACAAATCCGTATCAGTACAAAACTTTGACGTTTGACAGATTGCTGGGTTTGATTGCCAATTAAAAATCTTAATGTTAGTACCGTTTTTCGCCACGCCCATTCTCTTTCCGCACATACTCTACTGACATAGATGAAATTATTGTAACGTAAAACCTTGCATTGAAAAACAATTAAAAAATCACAATATAATTAAATGAGAAAGTTACCGTGAATCCAAACGGCAACAGCTTCTAAATCACGCTTTCGTTACGTTTTTACAAGGAGTATATTTTCATTCATATATAAAAAAAATTGAATACCTATCGATTTGATTGCGAGTTCTAGACGCAGTTTGACTTTGATTTAGGTATTTTAGCTGAGTTACATAGTTTGATATGAATTGTTTTTTTTAATATCCGATTCCGATACAAAAAATTAAAAGAGAAAATTAAAGGTCTTATGCTCAAAATATATTGTGGTAACAATATGCAACTTGTAACAGTGCCGAAATATCGAAAACTCCCTTGATCATGGAAAATGGTAACAATCCCATAAAAACATAAATTACTATAATAAATACGCCACTACCACAGGATAACATGTAGATAATATATTTACTTATATCTATCATATTTATATGTATGAATATGTACATTTGACACCTAGATACCTGTGTCTGTGACTGACATAACCTGTGAATAATATTTAGAAGATATAACTTCACAAATTGTGAACTAGAACCTAGAACCTAACCGGTTTAGATAACATCATGGATTAAAGCCAAACGAGCGTAACCAATACATATCTTTGTTCGCAATCATTACGTCATTTTATATAACAGAGTCATTACGAATGCTATACAGATTTGCATAGATTATCTCTCTCTTGACAAGTGAAAATCAAACATCGAGGGACCCGATTCGTAACAAAGGAAGATCGTAAACAAAAAATAGCTATAGCTGAGTTTGTACATTTACACTTTGTGATTCTCTGTTGCCTAAATAATAACCTATTTTTTACATTGACTTTTGAAGTTATACTTCTTTAGGCGCGTTATGAAAAATTGATGAGAGTGAAATTTTAAGATGCGCGCGCATCACTGTAACACAAAATTTTAACATAATGAAGTTGGTCGCTTAAAGTGGGTGCTAACGACTGCATTGTGAAGGCCTATCAAAAGTATTTATTAATCTGGAACAACGGAACCAAAGCGCGATTCAGGAGACTACAGCGCCATCTCTTGACCATTGGTGTAGTAGAACCAAAAACCACATCTTTATTTTTTGTAATAAAGTAACAGTTATAGGTATTCATATTTATAATATTTATCCACATGTTTCTAGTTTGTATATTCGGAATACGTGTTTGAGTTTCATACAAGTGCAAATCACATATGTTCTAATAAATTAAAAATATATTCAGTAGCGATTTTAATTGAATATTTTGATTATTTATTTATTTTTTCAAATTAAAACTGAACTTTATTGACTTCGTCCTTTTCCAGACTTTTTATTAATTTATTGTAATTAATTATTTGCATGCAATTAAAAACTAATTTTAAAAGATGCCAAAGAAGGATAACTTCTCACGCGCCTACATAAGTACACGCACCCATTTTTATATAAAAACTGAGAACTTATTATTTTTAAAAGCTTCTATTTTAAATCGAAAGAAATTTTTATTAGAAAAAAAACCACGCGGTCCAAGCAGAAGACGGGACTCGAACCCGCACCCTCCGGTAATCAGGCGGATGCAATGACCATCATGTCCTAATTGCCCGTGTCGAATTATCTCCAGTAATTTTTTTGGATGCAAGGCAGCGCCATCTCTTCACATTGTAGGTAACCCACAATGTCAAATGAATACCTTTACAAGTATTAATTAAACATTTGAAAAAAAAATAGCAATTACGTCTCCTACCTGGACCGCTTGGATTTTTTCTTGTAAATTTTTCTTTAGATATAACATCTAGCAGTTAAATAATAAAAATATATCTAATTTTTTTTCGCTATTAACTCACGTATTGTCTTATTCTATTGTTATCATGAAGAAAGTGCCAGCATCAACTTTAATCTACCTTTATGATTAATTGACGTTTCTGAATGCGACCGTAAGACTGAACCGATTTTGATAAATCCTTGTGTAAGATGTAGGGTATGAGGATAAGGAGATCCTGGGATTCCTTATCTTCATACCAAAATGTTAATTCGTTCTTTTTCCTCAATAATTTATTTCAATAGTTAAGGAAAATTTTATAACTGGTCCTCCATCTACCTGTTTCATTGGTAGATGTAGATCGTCGTCATCGTAGTCATTGTAGTCATTGGTTTTTATTAAAACTTGATTACTTATACGTCATTATGGCCCGACATCGTTAGCTTTTTATAAACAAACAATCATTCTCTCATCAACATCTTCAATCCGCTTATTAATATCCATATGTGCTTTGGGAAAAATTTATCGTTTTATGAAGGTTACTCAATATTATTAATAAAAAACTTAAAATAAATGAAAAATTGAAATTAAATCAACCAATGATCTGGTCAACAATTACGTGCAAGGGAACTGTTTCAGGAATGTTCAATTTTAGATTAAAATTGTTAGATTAGATTAGATTTCTTCATTGATAGCTCCGTCGGGATTTGGCCAATATCTATATATAATATGTTTCTGTCCAAAATTTTATGTCTCGATTTGTTCTGTGAGGGCTTGTTTATTGTTTTTTACTCTGCTTATGCTGTGAAAGCGTTAAAATAGTTTTTTTTAATGTATTTAAAAATAGAACTCAGAACGTATGAAATTTGCGTATCCTGTGGTAACACTAAAACCGTTCCGTTGAAAACTCTTTTGGTAAATTGTGAAAAGTTTTTTAATAACGTTATTCCATATACATAACAAGTTTAGAGTAATGGTTTATGCAAAGAATCGCATAATAAATTAGGTACTTATAGTAAAAATAAATTTGAAAATCCCAATTTTATTCCCGTGGTTGATATGGATACTAAATCAGTTCAGTGCCTAAAAAGGAAAGACATCTCCAAATGACCATTTTACAAATGCATTTGGTGCCAAATTTATGG